TTCTGATGCAATCCCGAAAGGGGGGGGGGGGGGGGGTCATCACAAACAAACATGACATTAAATTGTCATTATACGAACTAGAACAAACAGCTCTATGTTGCTTTGATATTTATTAATTTTCAGGAAATATGTGAAATAAATTTCAGGTCCATTTCATTATTGTGCCTAACAAGATTGTGTGAGGTAGACGAAATTGACCTTAAAACGATCGTATTGTCTTTTGATGTCCAAAAATAGGCAAATCGGACATATAAGGACTTTATCTAATGACTACATAAATTTGGGATTTATTATTATTATAATATTCTAATGAAACTGAAAATTGTATTTTTTTGTTAGGATAAATAACAATTTTACCTGGCGTAGCCGTGCATAAAATGTTTTTCTGCGAAAAATGGCGTATTTAATGGAATAGAACGTTAATACAGTAAACTTTCTCTTTTTTCTCCGCAATAGGCTATCAAAAATAATTTATCTAATGTGTATGTGGAAAATTATGTGAAAAGATAAAAAGTGGCAATTGTTACCTTTCATACCTTAAGTTTCATTCATATGCCGCTATTATTGTTGTTGTTACCAATTATGTAAATCAATTGTATCTGATTTTATGCCCTTTATGGGCCCTGTAATTTGGAAAATACAAAAAAAAAATCTATTCATTGATAAAACGTAATATGGACTGGTCCAGTGTCCAGTTTGCAGGTCACTTAATTTACTGTACACATTCATGCACGCTCTGATTTAATCGATATACTCGTACGAAAAAGCATGAACAGTTTGAAGGTAATCTAATAATAACTTAATCCAATCAAATTGCATAAGATTCAATAACAATGTCCAGTCCACATCATAATGAGTAATAGGGGTAAACTTGGTAGGGAGAAAATGACAGATATTTCAAGTTAATATTTATGCAATAACGAATTAAAATTTGTCAACCAAAAGTTTTGCTACAATTTCAAAAACATGTCGTTCTGTATGGGTATAGTTTTCGGATCTTTCATTAGCGTATTTAAGGCTATAAAAAGTTTGGGCTTCAAAAGTTCACACAATTATTGACTTTATACAGAAAATTCGTCCTTGTAAAACATTTAATAGTTCACAAATGATACGCGATTTTAAAGTAAAATTATTTCTTAAAACACTGCAAAAAATTTCATTCATATTGATAAAGTGGTATCGTCATAAAGTGCGTTGAAATGAACAGTGGTATAGCAAACATCGAATTTCCTCACAAAATGTTATCACACACTATAGTAAGGGGAGTCAGTTAAGTTTGTTTATTTTTAGATTACAGGTAATCATTTGACATTACGTATACAACCTGTGTGACCTGTGTAGTGATTTTGATTTTACGATAAATTCATGAATGAATGAACGATAATTTTATGAATGAACCTGAGCACCTGACCTCTTTCTTAAACACCAATTAAACATACAAAACCGTATTTAAAAGGAGATAATTCAGTCAAATTTTCAGTACTAGATCAACAACTGAAATGATTCCATTTTTTGATGAAACATCGTACGAACGGAAAACGGAATCGCAGGTATAAAAATGCACTTTTTTCCCTTGTAATGACCGCGGATCTATAATTTTTATAGATCGGTTGAAATCCCAAAACTAATTTGCATAATGGAAATTTAGGCGATAGCAATACATCGGAATGACCTGAAGGTCATCCTCTGTAAAAAAGTGAAAAAGTATATTTTAACAAAACGCATTTGACTAGCAGGTCGAACAACGGATGTTCTTAAACCCTGCTAACTGCCATTTGCGATTGCTAAATAAACGGATCACCAGATGTAACAAAATGGATCTTAACTATTAATTTAATACCAAACAGAAAACAATATACTTGCGGAAAAGATGGTATACAAAAAACAAAAAACAAAAGGTGCAAAAATTAGTACACAATATCCGGATTTCGACAATTAATGTCTCTTCAGTGATGTTAGGAATCGAAACGGTATTTTGAAGGCCATATAATTTACCTCAATTTAGGATAGACTCTTGAATTTTGAAGAGTCGAAATAGGATGAACGGATCATATAAACTCGAAGGCAAATATAATACAAGCCCAAACGAAAAAATATAAACAAGTCTAAATTGAAAACAACGTTCAAACCTATGATTGCGTTGAATAAAAACCGGAATTTTTATACGTGTGCATGCAAAACAAATTTCTTGGTAGAGGGGTCTAAATACAGCACAAACAACATTTTCCAAAAGACCAAAAAAGTGAAAAAGTATATTTTAACATATATTATTCGTCTAAATAACAGCCCAACAATATTAGATCTGTAAATTTGCGGAAGCAAATTTTTTGTTCTTCCCTAGCCGGGATTCGAACTCATGCTACTGAGATATCGTGACACCAAATCTCCTTGCACTAAATCAAGCTTTCGGTGGCCGGGTGTTAGCTTTCCTCGTCAGTTTTTATCTAGCGTCGTAACACAGTACATGATATAAATAAGGCATGCAGATGGAATATTACAGATCAGCTGAATTATCTAACGTAGAGGATCTTACAAATTTATGTGTGGGGGGACAGAAATAATTATATGTACGTCTGAACCACTGACAACTCTATATATATGTTACAGGCATTTTCTAAATTTAGGCATTTTGTAAAATGACTGAATTTTCAGGCAATTTATAAAATGCCTAACCTTGACAGGCATTATATAAAAAGACTAAAAATACTTAGTCATTTTGTAAAATGACCGAAATTTCGAAACAAAGTTCAACAAATTGCCTCTTCAGTTTCAGGCAATTTGTAGAAAAAGGATATCATTGAGATGCATATGACAAAAACGGACAAAAGCACAACATCTTGCAAAGAAATAACTAATGGTTCGGTAGAATTAATTTATTCTTCAAAAACCAGCTGGGAAAGTCTGTATGTCATATGATATGTTCTTTTTAATGAAACTACGTTAAGTATGTACGCACTCTGTATTTCAGATAGTAAATTAATGATTATTTTGTCAAATTGGCAGGACACATTGTTCTTTCAATAGAACAAAATTTACAAAAGAATTTTTAGAAAATCCAGATTCAAAACAGTGAAGTGAAACATATAAAGCAGAGAAAAAGAAGTTTGTTTTTATTTGACTGATTGCTGTTAGTTTGCTATTAGTGCAAATATTTCATGCATTTTTAAGACGAGAACAATTTGGTTATAATTCATTATGGGGTATTTCTGCAGTGGATTAACCTGGATAAAGGACATGAATTTCGACTGACGTTTGAAATGAAGGTATTTTGGATAGGGACAGAAAAATCCTTCTGCAGAACGGTCAAAGAGTTCTTAAAGTGCAGAGAGTGTTGCACTTTACTAACATGCTGCAATATATGTAATGTCCCCATTCAGATAGAATGAGAATTTATACATCCACATCCAAACAAATTCCCCTCTATAGCATGGGTTTCGCATTACAATCCTGAAGGCCGTGTTTGGTTGTGATGCAAAGATATGAGTATCTTCATCTTCACTGACTCAAGGAAATGCCTATGACTTTGCGATGAATTAATAAGACAGTAGTTAACTGTGGTTAAAATCTCGAAAATCGACGAAGAAGAAACAAATAACGGTGCATTGACAGGGTGAGCGTCTCCTGCTATAGATGCATCACCCGTCATGGGCAGATCTGCTTCAGTCCGTTAAAAGCTATAAGCCAAAAGATACAAGTCAAACTAATCATGATGTATCTTTTGGGAACATCTGAAAAAAAAGATATTCATGTGTGACGTGTGTGCTTATTGCGAAACGCAACGTTGTAGAACCTTAAGTGTTTTATCAGAAAAGGTAATGAAAGAGATAAACATGTCATGATCCGGGTTTCTCCAAATGTGGTCGAAGTGCTAAAACCAGATTTTACGCCAAACAATGTATTTGCAAACAAACAGGGCAAATATTGTGGAACAGTTCTGTCATCCAAACATTTTAAGAAATAACAAATAGTTGTCGAGTTCTGTGCTTGTGTGAATTTGGAATAATTCAGTAAAACTTATTTTTGATTATTAAAACTCTTAAATTTCAAGCTTTAACATTCAGTTATTATCATTAATAAAACAGCTCTGTTGTTCAAAGCTTTCAGTTGTTTTTTTAACATTTCATTCTATAAAATAATTTCAGGCATTTTGTAAATGCCTTTCAATTTTTCCAGGCATTTTGTAAAATGCCTAGAAAAATTAGTCATTATGTGAAATGCCTGAATCTTGCAGGCATTTTCTAAAATGCCTAAAGTTTTAAGGCATTTTACAAAATGCCTAAATTTAGAAAATGCCTGTAACATATATATATATATATATATATCTATATCCAAATAAATCACACAATATGATTGTACTATAACCTGAGGCTTAAATAAAAATATCAGAAAATGAACAAACAAACAAAACAAATAAATACTTGTATCGTTAAGTTGTTACATTGCCTTATACGTTACAGGATATTAAACTAGAAAATATTGATAAATTGACGTCAAATAGCAATGCAGCAAAGTCAACCTTGCGTGTCAATTTATGACTGACATGTACGTGACTTCATTCATACAACCAAACAACTATCGCAACGATTTATACCTTAAAATAGTTTTGTTTACTTTTTCATGTTATCTCGTATTCTAAATCAAATTAAAAACAGATTGTTAAGAAAAAATGCCTATAAAAATAATATATATATAGCTGCATTTTATTTTTTATACTGACTTTTCAGCTCGAATTGGATTAGCTAGTCCCTATAACGGCTTGCTGATTAAGTCAGTATCAAAAACAAAAATGTCAGTCTTTAAAACGCCGTTTTATCTCACAATAAAAAATCCCTTAAAGCTTCGAATTTCCCATAGATTTATCAAAAATTATATATATTTAGATATAGTTATTGAAAATGAAGAAAGGAAATGGATAATTTCGTTGATTTTCAGAAAATAGGTCAAACACATATTTTTAGTTTCTTAGGAATGTAATTTTGATTATGTCCCTTGGTTTATAGTCTACTTATATTAAGCCCTCGATTAAGCCATGTTAATATGTCTGAGCAGAGCTGAGGTATGTATGTATATTTTATTGCATTGTTCATTTCCATAAAATATTACCTATATACCTAGAAATAAGCTACCAACAAGCAATATTATTCGTGGATTTGTCGAAGGTCAATGTTAAAGAATAACACGTGAAGGAATGTTTACAATTAAATATAGAACTAATTCATCCCTGTATTTTTTCCAATGTTCTTGATCATTTGTTGATAGAAATCATTATTGTGATCTCAATAAAAAGGTCTCGACAATAACACAAAAAAAAACCCGATTGTTGGTGTTTCACGCCCAAGCACATAAAGGTTATATATATGTATAAACATGCATAAGACGTGAAAGGGAAAGTAGGATGGTGGACAATAATTTTGACTGCAATAGACTATATATGGAGAGTGGTTGGCTGGAAAATTAAGCCTTTCTATCGGTCCCCTGTGTGAGCCTTCTCATAAGGCATAATGCTATAATTTCCCATTATTGTCCCATCCTACCTACTTTCCCTTTCTGACATGTCAATATTGCATATAATCTATATACCCTCTAGGCTACAATTGAATTAATGAAAATTTAATGCGTATTTGCATGCGCCTCATATAACATTTTGTACTATAGTATTATTATTATCCTGTTTAACATGATATGACCTAGTGAGGCTTGTATAGGGTATATTGGGATACGGGATATTTGCCATTTTAATTTTAGGGATATGGGATATTTGTCCTAAAAATAAATGGGATATGGGATATTGGTGCATTTTTAGGGATATTGGATTTTGAAAATGAAAAATGAAAAAAAAATGTGAAAATTAAAAGTTAAGTACAGAAATATTTACATCTCACTTGATAAAATTGCCAAAAAAAAAATTTACTAGAAAAAGTTATTTAAGTGCTTTGTTGATTTTCATTGAGTTTTGTTATTATAAAACACCCATGCAACCACGCATCCCAAATTGCATGATAGGACCAAACACGTACTATTGATCACTATTTTAGTGTTTCAGCAGTTAAAGCTTGGGATTAGAGGCTCTGGCTTGGGATGGTCATTTTAGATGCATTATTTTAATATAATCAAATATGAAAATTATTCATGTATATACTGATATATTTATATTTTAATTCTTCATCAATAGGTCTAGTTATTATGACAGATCTGCCATCATCAGGGGTTCAACTGTCAATTTTATGTTAAAGTCTTCAACTTTGATCTTCTAAGCATATCTCCAACACTTTTATGTTTGCTATACGCAACTATTGGTGCAGCTTTGAAAATTTATACACAATCTTCGTCAAACTGTAATAAATGCCCGTTTCTTTATTTTACGTATATAAATATATGGGTTAAATTTAGTTATCAAAACTAACGGAATGTTTTCTTTTTCCTTCGATTTATTTTGCTGTGATAATTCAGTACGCTCAATTGATAAAGCATCAGTAATACTATCATCTATTTCGACGTTATCATAACCCCTATCTAATAATTTTACGTTGAAATTAGTTAGATTGTTTATTAAATTGTTATGGTCATTTGTGTTTCTAATTTGCCGTATTGCTTCACCTTTAATAAATCCTCGGAATACATGCTGTGAGTGATAGCTATTTCTATGCAGATAGAGATAAGAATTTGTTTCTTTAAAATGTATTTCAAGGTCAAGAATACCATGTGTTGTAAATCTTTGACCTTTAATTACATGAACATCTAAGAACAACATTTTGTCGTTTGAAATTTCATAGGTGGAATTCAATAAGGGGTTATAATTATTTGCTAGACGAAAAGAATCTGCAATTTCATCTGATGTTCCATCATATATTATGAATCCATCGTCCCTATATTTTTAACCTACAATATAAAATTAAACAGACCTAGAAAAATCCTATTGCACGAGTTTGCTATCTATTTATATCTATATTTATGTTTATAAATCGCTTATATGACCGTCGGCATGCAGTCTACGGAGGTCAACTCGATAGTTAATTAGATGGGGTCTAGACTAAAATACACAAGAAACGATGAAACATAGTATCGAGCCCATGCCTTGTAAATTATTTATTTTATACTTTTTATAATTTGGATATATGTTTTAGTATGCTATTATAAATCAAATATGAGAATTTGAGTCAAATCGATGAACATGAATTTGACAACCAATGCCCCTTTAAATGAATCTAATTGGCAGTAATGTTGAGTATTTAGTTGTCTTGTGACTCCTGTTATGTAGTCTAGTCTGTCTGAAATAACACAATTTGAATTGTTATCTGTCTTTTTTATTACTATTGTTTCATCATTTTTCAAATTGCGTACTTGCTATTCTTTCGCCCTAAGTAAGATTGTTTTTTTTTATTCATTAGAAAAGATAATTCAAGCTTTGTTAAATCAATATAATTTTCCGACGTATGGCACGTAGATTGATTGATTGTTGGTTGCTTAACGTCCAGTGGCAAATATTTCATGCATATTCAGGACGACATATGGCACGTAGAAGCAGGTTTATATCCTGTATTACTATGAAATGGATGAAGGTCATTTTTGTCGAGCCTTCGACTTTTGTCGAAAAAGCGAGACATAGCGATCCTACATTCCGTCGGCGGCGGCGGCGGCGGCGTCCACAAATATTCACTCTGTAGTTAAAGTTTTTGAAATTTTAATAACTTTCTTAAACTATCCTGGATTTCTACCAAACTTGGACAGAAGCTTGTTTATGATCATAAGATAGTATCCAGAAGTTAATTTAGTAAAAAAAAATCATTTTTTTTCGTATTTTACTTATAAATGGACTTAGTTTTTCTGCCAGGAAATATAACATTCACTCTGTGGTTAAAGTTTTTAAAATTTTAATAACTTTCTTAAACTATCCTGGTTTTGTACCAAACTTGGACAGAAGAATGTTTATGATCAAACGCTAGTATCTAGAAGGAAATTTTGTTAAAATTTTGTACCTGTTTTTCTGTATTTCACTTATTAATTAACTTAGTTTTTCTTCCAGTTAACATTACATACAGTCTGCAGTTAAAGTTTTTAAAACATTTATTAGATTCATAAACTATACTGGATTTTTACCAAACTTGGACAGAAGCTTCTTACACTCAAAAGATAGTATCGAGAGGAATATTTTTATTAATTTTTTTCCTCATTTTTGTTGAGCCTGCGATTAACAGCAAAAGTAGGCGAGACACTGGGTTCCGCGGAACCCTTACAATTTTTTTTCTTCATGACTTATAACATATATCGACATCGCAGTTGTCTAGCAAATTCACTGTAGTCTTTTAGTAAAGACATTTTTGCATTTTTGCTTGATGGCGTTGGTATAAATTTCAAGCCTTTCGCCAACAGGATATATTCCTGATTTGATAATTTGCGTTTTAATAGATTAACTACATGCTTTTTTGCATGTGCAGCACTTTGCTGCATATTAAATTCATTCCGTTCTTTTTTTTTATTGTAGAATCGGATTTTTTGCTTCTTAGCATTTCTATTAAAATGACGTGTCATCTGTGAGTTCACATTCGGTGATTCTCTTAGCTACGTGCCTTTGATGAGCTCACATTTGGTGGCTCACGCTTATCTCTACAGTAACTTTTTATTTGTTACAAACGCTTAGTTATATATTGGTTATTCCAGAGACATGTAGATTAAAATTTGAAGGTCTCTGGATAATTCTGAATGATTAACTTTTCTCTGTGAAAAAGTCCACATCCTTGACATCCATACTACAACGCACAACATGTATTTATACAAAAATGGGTTTGGGAATGAATTAATGATTTTTTGGGATATTTCAAAATAGTTTTAGGGATACGGGATATTTGTAAAAAAAAAAATATTGGGATATTAGGGGTAAACATTATAGGGATATGGGATATTGGGACAAAAACTTAATGGGATATGGGATATTGATACCCTCCCTAAACAAGCCTCCCTAGTTTTTTGTATGTTTGAAAACAAAAGTGGAGTCATTTAACAATTTTATTTAACAATTAACATGTGTATAACACTGAAACAGATATAGTGTTTGAAAATATCATAAAGTAAATTCTCATATGCTATAAGATCATCAAACTAATATTATAGGTTTAATCATTTGGTAGAACTCTATATTTTCTGTGTTTCACTAATATTTGTTAATCGTTGGCTGATTTATTGTCATTACGTTCTTTGCATTGTGCATTGACCGTCGTAGTTTACAAAGCTATTGCTGAAATCAAATTTCGTTCATTATTTTGTACATAAATCAGGCCGTTAGTTTTTTCGTTTAAATTGTTTTACATTTGTCATTTCGGGGCCTTTATAGCTGACTATGCGGTATGGGTTTTACTCATTGTTGAAGGCCGTATGGTGACCTATAGTTGTTAATTTCTGTGTCATTTGGTCTCTTGTGGAGAGTTGTCTCATGGGCAATTGTACCACATCTTCTTATTTTTATATTTACAGGAAATTTACTGCTATTGAATTATTGTCTTCCCGTACTCTAATTCCGCGCCGACAGTTTTTCCTTATGTATCGACCTTAACATGACCCTTTTCGTTAGAATTTCTGCAATCTCATTGAGCAAATTATCAACTTTTGTAACAAAGTTACAGGTAGTAACGTTTGATTAGTTCAGTGATTTTGTCATGATTTGGTACAATGGGTCGTGGCTTGGTTAGGTAACTTCCCAGCCAGAACGATTGCCTCAGTATTTCTCAAATAAGCAAATAAAAAGCAAATGTCTTAATGAGAGGTTTGAATCTATATTGCACGCCAGACAATCTATTTTCAAAATTGTTGTTTTTAAGAAATTACCGCTGGATAAGCAAAATATCGAAATTGAGATGATGGTCTGGAAATTTTTCATGGTTTTTATCGAATTTGTCATGGTTTAGATCCAAATTAATATATATTCGTTTCACCTTAATATTGTTAGTTTTTTTCCAATGCGCTTGTAAAATAACAAAGTAACACCATTTACCAATTGACTAATAAGAAAAGAACCAACTCTGGTGGACGTAATCAGCAAACCGTACATGAGATTTTCATTTTTCGTGTGTTTCCTAACATAAATCAACTCTCAATACTATAATCTATATAACCATAGCTGTTTTAACTACAAAACTAACCAAACGTTATCGAACACATTCTTCAAAAAAAACCAGGTGTCTATACAAAATGTGTCGAACTTTTAATCGCACCGAGTCTATAAAGTTCTGAAAGAAATTTACCAGAGACAATCGAAATGATTTAGGACAAACATAAAACTCGGTGGTGGAACCCGCATCTAAAAAATTGGAATGCTAAAATCAAGTTGAAGAGAAATGAAAAGCAAGTGTTCCGTAGATTTGTGCCTAGGGTAGTAAAGCATTTAATTAACGGTAAATGCACAGAACATGACTGCATGAATAATATCTAATGTCAGCACAGGAGTGTTGACTACTGGGCTGGTAATACCTCATGCCAAAACGTCTGAAAACAAAAACCTGTCAGCCCGCGTTTTTTTTTTCTTGGATATATAATGTTTATGCCCCCGCCGTAGGAAAACAAGTGAAAACTAAGTTAGACCATGTAGTTTCATTTCTTGGTTTATGCTTCAAGTCAACGCAGTAGATGAAAAAAAATAATTAGAGTCTCGAAGTCCGCTGATAAATTGCTAACGTCATTTATGCACAGAACTGACATTAATATGACAACACGAGTCATTGGATTAAAACGCGCCAATCTAACCGGACTTGGCTACGTACTTATACATCTTGCAATTCAGAGTTACAAGTGTATACTTTTTCTGCTGGAGGAAATCTAGGTTACCTTATTATAAGTCAGTTAGTGGAAGGGGAAGTCGAAAGTACAAAAAAGGATCGTTTTCTATAATGTTGAAAATAGATAAATAAGAGATATTCATCCGCAAAATTACTTAAACAAACAGTCTACAACGGGGGAACCCATTTGGAACGCACGCGAACAATGTAGAAAAAACAATCGCTTACAAAAGTTTTTTAAATATTATTTCACGAAACATTTCGTAAGACATTCATTGTTGTACGCGTGCGTAAGAAGACAAATACACATTGTGCATGGCATGGGTTGGTAGATACGCTTTGTGAAATGGCAGACCCATTTACATTTAAAGACTATTGTTTAAACATCGTTGTTTTTAAATCTGTTCAAGTTAGCTACATAAATCACTTGAATTATAGAAAGAGCCTATCTAAGATTCAAATTAAAGTATGTCAGCTATTTAGTGTGACGCATGTTTCAAATTTCAAAATGTTTACAAGATCAGAAACCCATACACATATTTTAACGCAAATGTGGGGGAAGGGAGTAGTGGTAATAACAGTGAGGTATTGCTACAAAATATAAATTTCGAAATGCAGTATTATTAAATCTTGTTACTTCTTCAAATCTCACTTAGCCCCAGGTTAGAATTATATATGAAAAAAAAAACACCGAAGCATTCTAACGTTATATAGATATAAATTAGCCCCCACGTTTCTTTAACAAAAAACTTTTATCTTCAATGAAATATTTTGCTAGTTGTATCGTGCATCATTGTGACCATTTCACAATTACGCCAAAAAAGACACATAATTTTAATGAATCAATAAAAAAAACTAATTACAAGCAACCTGTTTACAGCAACATGTAATAGCAAAGACGTAACTCGTTATCAGTCACTAGGGTAGCAAAACTGGTCTGGAAAAAAAAACGCCGACCTACTAGTACGTAAACGTTCAGTTGCAAGAAACCTGAAATATACAGAAGGTACAAAATAACAAATGAAAACAACACGTTATAAATTTAATGCGTTCGAAGCGCTTTTCTGGATTTACCTTCACCAGGAACGCTCAAAGCCGAACATTTAAAAGCCCAGGATGTATAAAACCGAAACAGTTGAAGAGCTATATAAACAAAAATGACCTAAAATAATAGCCAAATCCTTCTAAGACCAACTTTGCCTGAGGGAGTTACAAGCATCACTTGAGTGTTCTTCAAACAAGCATAATTTCTTTCTAAGCTTGTAAGAGTGAACACACACTTGTGTATTTTTGTAGGTCGTAACAGATGGTAACAAGACATCATAGATAAATAAGTCCAACGAACGGAAGCAACATAGAACCAAGCATAAACTGTGTAACATTTATACGACTTTTACCAAACATCGATACCTCGTTGCAAAGCTTTGTAACATTTATACGACTTTTACCAGACATCGATACCTCGTTTGCAAAGCTTTTGTCATGATACACAACCAATGCCATTTTCAATGTGTATATTTCAAAATATGAAGAAGTTTGCCTAAATTCAAATTAAGCTACTATATTGTATTTATTAAACCAGAAATAGCATGGTGCAAACTACATTTTACTCAAGAATAAATGTACCATTTTTCTTGTTCTGTCCAAAATAGTTAAGTAAACTACAGTTTATCCGTTGTGTTTACATTACATCACTATAATTTCAATGCAGCAATGTGTCTATTGTAATGTTACCTTATATATGTATGAATGCATATTTGTGTATCTTAAATACCTTTACACACACACCACACGTTTGTGTCTGTGCATTTTTAAAAAATGTCATTGTTATTTTTATTTTACTTACCATGACTTACTGATGGCGTACCTTATAATTTGATTGGCCTATATTGGATATTGTTTTTGGTTAATATGATATGCAAAAAGTTAAATAACAAAAATACCGAACTCTGAGGAAAATTCTAAACGAAAAGTCCCTAAGCAAATGGCAAAATCAAAAGCTCAAACACATCAAACGAATGGATAACAACTGTCATATTCCTGACTTGGTACAGACATTTTCTTATGTAGAAAATGGTGGATTAAACCTGGTTTTATAGCTAGCTAAACCTCTCACTTGTATGACAGTGGTCTGTGTTATGCATTTACATACTTTTATGTGTCGGAGTTTTTGCTACTATTATATACATTTACTCCTTCAAAATACCAAAGACAAAAGTCTGTTTTTGATATTTTTATAGAAAATTATAAGGTAATTTGAATATGAATTGCTAATAATGTCTAATTATAGGATGTTATGTATCCAGTTTCGATTTATAAGTTAAAGATGCTAAAGACGTGTCTCTTTCAATGTTGTATTATTTCTCTGGTAAGCTTGTATTTACGATGCCGTATATTGTATTACAGACAGAATACGGTTGCAAAGAATCTAAAATCTGTTATTGGATATTTGTTTTGAGCATAATAGATAGAGAAAAAGTAAAATTACAAAAGTACCGAACTCTAAGGAAATTCAAAACGGAAAGTCCCTTATCAAATGGCAAAATCAAATCATACGAATCATACAAATGGAAAACAACTGTCATATTCCTGACTTGTTACAGGCATTTACTTATGTAGATAACAGTGGATTAAACCTTGTTTTATAGCTAGCTAAACCTCTCATTTGTATGACAGTCGCATAGAATTCCATTATATTGACAACGTGTGAGCAAAACAAAGACTTAATAGTTAAAAATGCCAAAAAATTGGGGAACTGCAGTCAACATAGTGCTATTATCTTAATCACTAAACAAACAAACAACTACGTCAACAAAAAAAACCCAACAAAATGGCATATAGACAAGGCACATAAGCAAAAATGAAAGACAAGAATACAAAAAAATGACCATAGCACAATAACATAAATACCGTGCCACGCCAAAAGGATATTACAAAAAAATTACCTAAACAGTAAAGGATAAAAATATACAAAGACAAATAAAAAGAACATTATAACACGTAATTAAGATGGCAAACAACGTCAGTAGCTAGAACCTATACTTCAAGACCATAATGTATTATTTGTGAAGTTGATACGAAATATTTATCAACAAGGTATTGGTATCTTCCGATGAACTTTTTTGACCCAACCCTGGGTTCATTAACTTTCTGCCTAGACTTTGTTGACGTTTTATTAAGACAGAGTAGCAGCTGCAAGCTCTTGAATACCGAATGAGTTGGGAAACGTATATTCCATATGCAGGTGAAGTTAATATATTGCTGCTAAGGGGAAATTTATAATTTCAAAATTAAAATCGTCTCGTTTGTCATAGGTTCTAGTACTGAGATGACCGCTTATGTCAAATTGGAAGTATAAATCTAAAAATGAGGCGGAGGAAGCTGTGTCTGTTGTTTCTTTACTTTCTAGTTCTGGAGAATATATTAGTGGAACCTGATCAGAAAATTTTGGATTGTTAATGGAAAGAACATCATCAATATATCTGAATGTCCAATTAAATGATCTGGCTTCTTTGATCTTCTTGTTTTTTACAAGTGCCTGAAGGAGCTCCGATTCGTATGAAAATAAGAAGAGGTTTTCAAGTAGAGGCGCACAGTTCGTTCCCATAGGAATGCCGACAAGTTGTTGTAAAAGACTACCTCAAAATTAAACAAATATGTTGCCAATAAGAAACTCCAGCATACTGATCACTTCTTCCTCGGTGTGGCATGTTTTATCTTTTTGTTCACTGTTAATAAAATATGCCGTATGATAACTCAAAGCTATAAATGTATAGCGCATGCTACCATTTTATATTGAAAAGCATTATTTCTTTTAGACGATTTTTCAATTTCACATGGGGAGTGGTGGTATTAAAGGGTTGAAAATTCAAAGGTTTTGATAGAATTAATTTTGGAGAAAGATCGATTAGAGATTTACGATTATTCAGAAGTTTATAGTTTTTTTAGAATCCATATATGGTTAACACCACTACGCGAGTGAACAGTTTCAAAGTATTTTTGATGACTTTTTTAACTGCAGACAGATTTTTTGTCAATCTAATGGATAATTCCTTTGGAGAACATGCAAATGAACTAGCAATGTACCGTTGTGTGTACGGAATTTGTGAAGCTTAGGTATCCAATGCGAGTCCATCTACCTCGAAGATGATAATAAAATTTGAACTATTGTAATAGGCATATCAATAAGATGACAACATGAACATTTATGAAAGATGCAATCGTAATGAACAAGGGAGCATAAACAATATCTATTTATTTGTTAAGCTTTCTTTAGACTATTACTAGTATATCTTATATTCAGTTTTGCTATTATCAATAGTGTCCCCAAAAAATAAATAAGGTTTTGCAGTTTCCTTTTTACGGTTTATGCTTTAAATAAGAAAGCAGATGAAAATGAAGATGAGAGACTCAAAGTCAACTGATAAATGCTAATGTAATTTATGTCCAGAACTGACACAATATTATCCTCTCTGCCAACACGGATGATTACATATCGCTCTTTGACTTTGTAATGTTCGAACTAATTAACAAATACATTGATTTGTTTTAATGAGAAGCTATGTACAAGGTAATGTCATATATCTATACCGATATTTTTAACCTCTGTAGGTGATAACATCGACATTAGCTACAGGAACTATTGCTCGTGTCAAACGATGTCCAACACGAGCAGAACGAAGCAAGTTTGTTTCACAACAAAAGTGTAAACCACCTGAAGTATATCACTGTTTGATAGACGATGAAGACAAATTTGTTGAAACGTGCAATGAATTTATTCAACTACCACCAGGTATGTTACATGTATCTCTTAAGAACGTTTACCTTGCGAAAGCCTGTCGGACCAATTTCTGACTATTAAATTCTCTGCATCATCTGTATTTTTAAAATTTTCTCATATAATTTCGTAAATCATATACCATAGAAATCGCAGTAAAATATCTGATTATATGAATAACTGGTATAGATGAGTTCATTAGGAAATCTAATGGATATGGTTTATTCAAATTTTTAAACGCGAACAATTTCAAACGTGCAGTAGTTACTTTTGAAGTGGTAGCCGCGCTATTTTTGGAGTACGGAAACAAACTGTTACCCGTTGATGCAAGGTTCTCGTACAAACTGTTACGCTCTGCTTTAAGGTAGATAGGGTGTCTTCCTCCATCTTGGATTTTGAAATACCAGAAAACAATCGGTCTAGATCTTTAATAGTTTAATAGAAGGTGCAAAGTTTGAGAGTAGTAAGTAATTCATGTGCAAGAATTTTCATTTCAATATAGAAAATGACCTATTTTATCATATTTATGGTTGTATTTTATAAAAAAAAAAAGAATACTTTTGTTTGATTCTATTTTTTCCAACTTTGACACATAAGGGGAGGCAACTCAAATGTAAGGGCAGATAATTCAGATAAAGTTACTTTTACAATAGAATGTGTTAGGAATTTACCTATTTTATTATGTAGCAAGAAAACGGGTAACGTGACCCCATTTTTTCTTTTTCTTATCTGAAAGCATACTAGTAGAGCTATCTTCTCATATTTTATCTCAAAATTCTATGATGTAGTTTTCGTTTTATGGCAGAAAATTGGGTTTTCCATGCATAATCTATACAAAATCTGTCAATTTTGCACAACCTGTAGCGTGAAAATAAGCCCCGTGACCCATTCTTTTTATTATTATTTTTTAAAAAGCATGATATAAACTACATTTTGGCAAATTATTAAAAAATTCTATGGATTATACTTTAGACACCCCATCTACCTTAACGTAAACGAACCAATAAGAAATATAGTCCGTTCTTGGGAGTATTTGAATGATTCTTTATGATGACGTGTACCTGACTGTTCACAATAGAAACGTTGTTAGATTAACATGGAATAATTACTTAGAAACGTCGTAAATGTAACTTGCAAGCTTATTCTGCTAGTAAAAATATAAATATTTTCCATCCTTTACAGCATTTTAATAACGTGTAACAGTTTACAATGGTGACTTGTGACTGTTCAAAATAGACAGTTTGTTAGATTTACGTGTACCAGTTGACAATATAGAAACGTCATAAAAGTTAACAATTATATAAACGGTACCAATTTTACTGCACCAGATGCATATTTCGATAACTAATGTCTCTTCGGTGATGCTTTAGGCGAAAAACTAATACATAGATTGAAGAGCTGATAAAACCAATAACCATTAGAAACTTCGTTCGCATATTTTTCTGATAAATGATATAATATGTTGGGAGTAAATTTAAAAAGCTATGACGCAAAAGTAATGTTGGGACAATAGTTTGAAAACAGATAAAAGGAAAAGATACTACTTGGCGTGATAGAAAAGTAAAAAAGGAGGAATAATTCATAAACGATTGATTTTCGTAGAAATGAGTAGAGGTTGCCTTCCCCCTTCAAAAACTGTTCTTCATGGGATATATCTATGTATATTAGACAATATATTTGGAAATTTGCTTTTCGCATTTATTTTTTAATTTTTTTTTTAATTTCAGGTAATTACCCACGGTACACATCATTTTCAGAAAGAATATACTATGATCCATGTCCACATTCAAGATTCCAACCCTGGCCCGTCAAATCTTATGAAATAACGGAATGTGAAGTTGAGAAGTCATCGTGTACTGGGATCGGACAAGTTCCATGTTCTGATGGTAGTATTACAGAAGATTCTACGTGTAGCTGTGATTACAAAAATGGATATGTAATGACTGGGCCTGACAAATGTTGTTCACCAGCAGGCGATGATGATTGTTTCTGTAAATATCATCCATGTCAAAGTGATTTACAAGAACTCGACTCTGGTGTGTATATCAAGTAGTTGTCATATAAATCTTTACCAACCTTTTTACAGTTCGTGTTTATCACGCAATCGCGACAAGTCCTTGTCGACAAAACTCGAGTTAAGGAGTTAAAACGTGATTCTTCTTTCATTTTCAAAATGATATTGAAGTAAAAACTAGAGGCTCTAAAGAGCCTGTGTCGCTCACCTTGGTCTATGTGCATATCAAACAAAGGACACTCTCCAACATTGTAGACGAAAATAGACTTCATGACAAAAATCTCTATTTTGTTGAACTTGTATTACTGTTCTTTTAGTCTGTTTAGTTTCTCTCTATCTTCTTTAGATTTTGCTCAAAACACAAAAGAGGGTAACAAAAATCCTCATTTAAGTGCAACCACTCCTATGAAGAGTGACAGTCTACTAACTATATCGGCAAAATTTGACTTTTTAATAAATCTTGCCTTGCTGATCATTTTTGTGATTTAAAGTGTCTATTTATTTATTATGATTTAAATCATATAATCAGAACGGAAAAAAATGTTTCTCTCTAAATATCATAGTTTTCATGATAATAGGCAAACATGAAAAAAATGGTAAAATTTGTCTTTTATGGGCAATAACTCCTATAAGAATTTGTCTAACAGTTTTGACGATTATAGACAATTGGTAGAGCTCATTATTCTGAACATTTTTGCTCCTTTCAGATTTTCTCTAATTATAACGGTTCAAAAAATAATAGACAAAACTTGCGTTTTACCCCTATGTTCTATTTTTTGCCATGTCGGCTGGTAGGAGGGGTCTTCGGACACATTTTTTAAACTAGATACCCTAATGATGATTGTGGCCAAGTTTGGCTAAATTTGTCTCAGTAGTTTCAGAAGAGAAGATTTTTGTAAAAGATTACAAAAATTTACAAAAATTTGTTAAAAATTGACTATGAAGGGCAATAACTCCTTAAGGGGTCAATTGACCATTTTGGTCATGTTGACTTGTTTGTAGATCTTACTTTGCTGAACATTATTGCTGTTTACAGTTTATCTCTATCTATAATAATATTCAAGATACATTTGTAATAACTAAAACCTACAAAATGTCCTTAAAATTACCAATTCAGAGACAGCAACCCAACTACGGGTTGTCTGATTTGTCTGAAAATTGCAGGGCACATAGATTTTGACCTGATAAACATAATACCCCTTGTCAGATTTGCTCTAAATGCTTTAGTTTCAGAGATATAAGCCAAAATCTGCATTTTACGCCTATGTTCTATTTTTAACGATGTCGGCCATGTTGGTTGGTAGGCGGGGTCATCGGACACATTTTTAAACAAGATACCCTAATGATGATTGTGGCTAAATTTGGTTAAATTTTTCTCAGTAGTTTCAGAGGAGAAGATTTTTGTAAAAGATTACAAAAATTTACAAAAAATTGTTAAAAATTGACCATAAAGGGCAATAACTCCTTAAGGGGTCAATTGACCATTTTGGTCATGTTAATTAATTTGTAGATCTTACTTTGCTGAACATTATTGCTGTTACAGTTTATCTCTATCTATAATAATATGGAAGATAACAACCAAAAACTGCAAAATTTTCTTAAAATTACCAACTCAGGGGCAGCAACCCAACAACGGGTTGTCTGATTTGTCAGGGCAGATAGATCTTGATTTGCTTTAAATGCTTTGGTATCAGAGATATAAGCCAAATCTACATTTTACCCCTATGTTCTATGTTTAGCCATGACGGCCATCTTTGGTGGTTGGCCGGGTCATCGGACACATTTTTCCAACTAGATATCCAATGATGAATGTGGCCCATTTTGGTAAAATTTAACCCAGTCGTTTCAGAGGAGAAGATTTTTGTAAACGTTAACGACGACGATTACGACGACGGACGACGACGACGGACGCCAAGTGATGAGAAAAGAAAAATGGTGTTGATTTACTTTAAAAAAGAATTGCAATGGAATCTGAAAAAAAAATTCTTACATTTTGTAGCGTAAAACGAAATATTGTATTTCAATTCCAGATTACAAGTGTGTGGATAAGTGCAATCCTGGTTATTATAGACCTCTTGGACAAAATAGTTGTGAAGACATACAAAATTCAAGGTAAGTTTGCGTTATTCAAATGTCTGTTTTGACAAAATACATTTATTGATAATAAATATATCAACACTTTTCGTTTGTTAAGTCTTTGAAATTATTACTGTAACCGGAGATGAATGTATTTAGGTTTCTAAATCGAAGATTTGAGAGTACTCATGATAAAACAATCTGCTCATACAAAGTCATGTAACTGGATGTTGACATACAGCTAAGACTATATGACCCTTTTTTGTTCATAGACGAAAGTTTATCGAATGTAGCCGTAAAAGTCTCTGTAATCATTTAGACTCGTAACGTTGTCACAAAAGTCGAAAACACTACTAGAACAATTGTAGCCAAACTTAATCTTTACATGTACTTATATATTATATATATAGTATATATTTTCAATTTAAAGGCATGTCTTATAATGCCTTTTTCAATCATGTTTGTCCTCTGGTTTTGTTTCACTGATGGAACATTTCACCAGTATCTTGTAATTTGTGTAATTTTTGTAAAAGGTTTTCATCTATTCTTGCTTTGCCCTGGCAAAGTTAAAGTCATCCCTTCAGAAATTTTGCAGACGTATCATAATTTTGTTGACCATTATAGATGACCGTGGACATGTTTGTTCTAATCGTCGTTCCAACCTCCATCACGATTGACCTTATATGGTCAACACGAAGGTGTAACTAGCTGACATATGAATTTTTTACCCTTCAGAAACCCCAAGTTATCATCCGGTTTATGTTTTGTTCTTGTTAGTTTTTTTTACATCGGATGTGACCTTGAGAGGTCATACCGGTGTTATGTTGCCGCAGAAATTTCTTGCGCTTTTGACTGATAACCGAACGTATTTCGTATAAATACGCGGATATTATCGAGTGCAAAATAACATTCCTTATCGCTTGTTATAAATTCATTTCTTCAATAAATACTCATGAAAATATTTTTTAAGAACATAGATAAATGATATTAGAATGTTTTGTCGTGAGAAATATATATATCAGTAACAAATCATGAATACCGAAAATTTGTGTTAACGCACGCGGAAGAATATCTCGAGAGATGATCTGCTATATATATAACTGTTATACAAATACTAATATAATATATAACAACAACCCAGATTATACTGATAACAAATGATTATATCACTACAATATAATAATTATTACGGTGAGGTTGAATTCCCTGTCATTTATTCATCATCCACACAGGAATTTGTCTCAGAAAAAAATATATCTATGTACCTTAACCTAACTTTCAGGTATAGAGATATGATTTTTTTTTCTAAGACCATCCACCAGAACTTGCGGTCATCCGATGTTCAGTTCTTTAGTACTTTGATTTTATTTAGTATTTTGAAAGCTGTTTGAATTTTCGTTTTATTTTTTCTGGTCATGAATTGTCTGTTCTGAGGTAATGATTTTACTTGTATGTTTACAATGTGTTTTTAGTATTGTTAAAGACGTATGATAGTTAAATAAAGACGAATTGTCTCTCTCTTCATGCCTTTTGACTATGTTTTTAGTTATACATCAGATACAACAGCAACAATTGATAATATGACAACTACTACGTCATTTTCCGTACCAGGTATGTTAAATTCATTCTTTCACTTACATGTATGCAATAGCTTAGTTATGTTAGAAATGCTTTGATATAAGTCAAGCATTCACTTTTAGTTAAAAATCTAATGCTTTGACAGCATTTATAACATGCAATATTAGTCCCAATTGCTTTTTGTTATAAGGACCGTATCATTGTTTGACCTTTATATTTTTCTTTCAAGACTCAAAAACATTCCTGAATAAGATGTTCCTTCATTTGCAGTTAAAGCTATTCGTTAAGATGACTAAACAATGCATGTCCCCCCTCCCCCCCCCCCTTTATCATGAAATCTAAATTGAATAATTGATAATTGCCTCAAATTGCAAATAGTTCATGCCTATTAAGGACAACCATTTGAGTTGAGTTCAGTCTTTAGCAAGTTTGTTTATCAAGTTTTCTAGACGTGACGGTTGGATTAGTATTTTAGTACAGTCAACAAGAATATTAACTTGACAGTGTCCTTTACTTTGCCATTGCTAAACCATCTTCTTTTTATTCCATGGTACTGTGCCAAAGTTCTCTGCATTCTTGAACGAAACACCGTATCGAATGGTATGCGCGTTAAGTTCAGTATACAAACCAAGTATTATACAAGAGTCACCTCGACTTTTCTCCTGCTGAGGAAGTCTTCATGGCAGAGTATGTGTATTTATTATTATCAGCTTATTTACCTAAGTTATTGCAAAAAATATGAACAAAGAAGTAAATGCATCAACATACATTTGTTCATGATTTTATAAGATATTTCAAATAATTTTACCCAAGCAAACCAGATCCCGAATCTCATGCTGTATTATTATGACTATATTGTTGATAAAATGCTTGTAAATGTGGATAAGTGTCCAGTGGTAAGGATTACTAGCAAAATCATCGCTTATACAACTTAAATTAAAAGAATGTAATGGATAATATATAGCCAGAATATACATGTATAGAAATGTTGACTGTAATTGTTAACGATATCCACTTTCCTTCACCAGATGCACAATTAGGCAATTGATGTCTCTTTATTGATGCTCGAGGCCAAATATAATGTATTTGAAAGTTAAAAACCTAATACAAACGACGAAGAGCTGATACAATCAAATAAATCCTAAGATAAGATAAATCCTGAATAGGAATCAGAGTTTGCATTATAGAAATGTATTTATTAATAAAACGATTACCAAAATTTTAAAACAGCAAATTTTTATCACACAATACTCGTATTTTTATGCCAGTACTGAAGTTCTGGCTACTGGGCTGGTGACACTCTATGAGCATGCTGGATATGAAAAAAAACTGGACATTAACAGAGGAGAGCAAACTGTCACATGCAATTAAAGTTTCCCCCTTCCTCTTTTGGCATCAATTCACAAAGTTTTCAGCACTGCGGAAAGATAAATGAGATTAAACAGAATCCACTTTTAAGTGTTAAGTTGCAACTAGTAAAAGATCAGTGAAAATAATTAGACAAGTGATTGAAAGGGTTTGTTAAATTAAATTGAATGGCTACCTTAAAAAGATGGAGAAGTCATTGCATATTTTCTCAAAGTACACTTTGATCATTTTGATCCACGTGTAATCAAGTACTTATGAATCTTTGGCTTTTAAACTTTTGGGTGTCCGCGATTATGATAAAGGTACATTAATGTTAACCCAGAAAGGCGCAGCTACTCTTTATCGATCCGTTTGGATCATTTAGATCCTCGTCTTTTTTTAAGAACTTACATATTCTGTACTCTAACTATTAAGGTATGAGCGGTTTGGGTGAAGTTGATCCAGGAAATAACTTAGGACGCACTAAATGTATGAAACGTAATTTTTATTTCATTTCTGGCATGACTGGAAGATGATTTAACTTGGCGGACTTTGCTTATTATTTTAGTTCTAATGAAAGGAATACGAAGAAATTACATGTTCATTTGAATATCTCAAATTGCATATACTATTTTCTTTTCAGGGAAAGACGGTCAAACGAGTTTAAGAAAGTCTGTTTTAGTAGTCATTGTGACAGGTTTCGTGGTTTGCCCAACGGTTTTGTTAGGTAACATAATAGCGGATGTTATATTTCATTCATTAAATACTAAATATCTATTGCAGTAAAGAAATGAGTATCCATAATATCAAAACGATTAAGGATCAGAAAAAATATGATTTTATTCGCAATTTGTTCTAAAAATTAAATGTATTTCTATCGTTTTAACTGTGTGAGATGAGACAAGGACTTGTAAACGGTAATAATTCTTTTTGATACAACTGTCAGTTTCGTAGAAATATCGTATTATTTATTTATTTCAGTCATTGTAATATGGGGCGAAGTTTGGAGACCTTACAAATATAAGCTGATACCGTTACTGATGCTTTTTGCTTGGCTGTTGTCAAGTTTTGGTGAGTATGTCATAAAAAATTGATGATACTATTAATTTTAACACTGTCATGCGAAGACTTACAACATTTGCTTTTTGTTACACTGGTTTAGTTTTAACTTTTAATAATTAAAAAAAAAACGATAAGTGAAATTATGTATACCAACGCCACAACACACTACACTAGCCACCTACATTGTCTGATACTGAACTAATAAAGACCACAACTAAAAGTAATGAACACAATATTGTAATTTTATTTTTCAACATACCCTACATGAGAGTATATATTATAGACTTTTGAGAAGTCAATACACTATATATGGACCTGTTCAAATGATATTGACATGGGACAAAGTCCGAGCGTGAGTATAATCTAACAGATCCATATATAACATATTTACTGAGTGAAAGTCTATAATTTATATATTACATAGGAAGAAATTAAAATTACAAAAATACCAAACTCCAAGGAAAATTCAAATTGGAAAGTCCCTTATCAAAATAGTGTATTATAGAAATTGACTTCACTGTTCTTTCTGTGTATTTAACATTGTATTTTGCAAGATTTTAATATTGACCGTCTATCTAAGAGTGGTCTAGAGCGATGGACACAGTGCATACGGTGTTGTCTCGATATCCCAATAGCATGGGTTCGAATCCCGGCGAGGGAAGAACAAAAATTTGCGGAAGCAAATTTAACATTGTTGTGCTGACATTTAGAGTAGTTATGAATATAAAATGTGTTTTCAGCCGTGTATCACCTTCACTGGTGATCCAATGGATGGATCTATCGTAGAGTTGTCACTTGTTTAGACGTACAATAAGCAACATACTCAAAAAAAAGTAAAATCATGAACAATATGTTAAATATTTCGGATAACAGATATCCTTCATCAGTATGATTATGATGTAAAATGAATCATATCAATCTATTCTGATTAATTATAACAATCTTGGAAATTATACAATAAAACCGAACACAGCAACGCTTGTACAATTCTAAAATTTTAAAAATGACGTAAGTTAGGTATTGACAACAGAGACTGCATAGATATGCTAATAACAAAAATAGTAATGTGCGATATGAACAGGTATATTTCTAAAATTTCAGCAGTTTGATAATGATTTAAAAAAAAAAAATGATTTTGAAACAGTTTAAGTAATTGAACGTGGCTGCGTACTTAAACATCCCAAATGAATAGCACCCTTCGATTTAAACTGGTATAATTCTAGAATTCAAGAATTGACAAAAGTAAAGAAATAGCAACAGAGACTGCGTAGTAATATGAAATATAACCCAAATGAACAGCAATGCATATATACATATAGAAACATAGCACCCACATACTTAAAACTAAAAACAAGGCTTCAGGTGCATAGAATACCCGTTGAATCACGCGATCGTAATAACCAATGAAAAAACAGGAATGAGCTACTCCATATGTATCTCATGTTACTTATGAGAGAATATAAAAGTCTAAAGATTTGTGCAACGGTACTAATATAAGGTGATAAACCACGGTAGGTGTAGTGTCCGGCTGAGATCTGGTTTTCTTCGAGTGAATCGGTCCATTTTTTCCAGTGCAGATCACGTTTTTTCGAGTGATGTTACATGCGATCAGATCGATTTATGCTATTTTGCAAGCATAATAGTTTTATTCATGACTGTTCATCTTATTCTGAATACTGTACACATTTTCAGTACAAAAGTCCTTGAGTTCAATGTCCTCGAATTTCACTTAAAGTTCAGTTTTACATTGTCCGTGTTTTTCGAGAGCAACATTTAAAACGCCCAGGGTTATTAACAAACGGTCCGGGCTTTTCAAAGAAAATGTGAATAAGAAAGAAGGCATTCTTTGCGTTTAAAACTGGTTTGTTTAGGTTATAACTGTAATTCAGTGAAGAACAATATAAAATTTTCCAAATTAGTCAAAAAACATATTAAAATATTGATCAAATTTAAACATTTTTGATTAATGATAATTTTCTGTACTGATAACATTTTACAATAACCTTGCAACATGAAATATAAAAGAAATCACTTGGTCTTTTTAAAACATTTTTTAGAACTGAGTACAGGGTAATCATGTCAATTTCATTTCATGCTACCTTTATTTTTACAAACAATGATAGTTTATGATTGATATAAATTACTGTGGCAAACCCCTGAGTGTTAAAAATAGGGATAAGACAAAGGAAAACTAAGGAATATCAGTAAAATTTAAAAAAAAAAATCATTATAATCACAATTATTCTGCTACAAGAAGGCCTTCCCCCCTAAAAAAAATACAATACCAAAAAAAAAAAAAAAACTAAAACTAAAAACGCACTTAATCTGCCCATGTTCTTTTTCCCCTTTTTCCCATTGACAATAAGATTTGATTTGATTTGAATGGAATGGAAATCTAATAAAAAATGATAACAACAATTGTAAATATCATGCGTCCGTAGCGCTTTTCTAGATTTACCTTCAACTGGAACACTGCCCAAAGCCGAAATGGGAAAGCCAGAAAAGATCCGAAACAGTTGAAAAGCTATACGACTAAAAGAGCCCTAAGTAATAGCCAAATCCATCAAAGGTTCAACTTTGCATTTTTTTTTTTTAATATATAAACTGACAATTTTAGATAAAATATTATTGGTAGCTTAACGTCTAGTGGCAAATATTTCATGCATGTTCAAGACGAAAACAAATTAGAAATACATACAATATGTAGGTCTTGTAATAGAGGCCGTTCGAAATGAAGGTGTGGAAATTTAGACTGCCACTGGGAAATAAGTGTATATTGGATAGGGACAGAAATGTTGCTTCGCAACTTACGACCTATGGACCCATAAAAGAGTTGTTGTAAGGCTTCTTAACGTCAAGAGAGCGTGGCAATCTCTCTACACTCCCCATTCTGACCGGATGTGGCTGTGTACTTGAACATTCCGCACAGTCAAACGGGCGCCCCACTTTGACAAGTGTTTTACTGTTGGCCGGATTAGGAACTAAGTTCCCAGTACACCTTGTAGTTAAACAATTTTAGAAAGGTTTTTAATTAATCATGTCAGTACTGACTACTGAGCTGATGATAATCTCGGGGAGTAACCCAATGTTTTCAATAAACAATGAAATAAATAATCTATAAGCTTTAATAGTTTTAACGATCCTCTTGAAATAATAAAAAAAAAAATTACGAAATATTAAATTAATGTATGGAATCGACATTGTTCTACGTGTGAAAAGATATCCTTCAGCAGTATGATGTAAAATAAATCATACAACATACTGCTGAAGGATATATGTATTGATAATTGTATCTACTTTTCCTTTCATTTAATTTTTGTGTTGTTTGAAACACATTTGATAAGGACAAATAACTCACAATGTAACGTTAAATACAGTAGTGGCAATATGCCATGATTTTCAATTTCCAGTATCGATGCGAAGAGTATTAAATTCACATAATTAAAAGCATTCTGGAACCGAAATCGTTCAACATTTGTTTATTCGCAACAAGTTCCAAATTGAAAATAATTCAAACGATAGTACAGAATTGTGAACTACGAAAAATCTGAACCAATTTTTGAGAAAAATTTTGAGGTCAAGAACAAATTAAAAGAAAGGCGGAAGATCCCAAATGGAAATTCAAACATATAAGTAAGGCAAATGTTAATTAATGGTTAAAAAACGACCAAAAGACGACAAACAACAGATCTATAAAACACAACATTGAAAGCTCAACACTGAGCAACACGAACCACACGAAAAACTTAGGGTGATTTCATTGGGTCCAGAAGAGTGTTGGTGATGGTGGCCTTTGGTCTGGTTGTTGTCTCCTTGTCACATCCCCCGTTTCCATTGTCTATTCTAAGCAGATCCTACTTCACATGTAGCACCCATGGGGTGCTCATATAAACACAAACTCGATGATCAGTCGTATTCGGTTATGCCTCATTCGAGGAACACAGGAATAGATTGTGATATGGCAATTGTAACATATTCGTCGTCATCTGTGAAAAAGATATTTCATAACGGTCAACTAACTCGTGGTGGTGTCGAATGAATGCATTTAATTTCACCACTTGGAACCCTTGGTTTAATGGCTTCCTGTTAAGTAACAATCTCTATCAAGATAATCATGATAGGAAACGCAAGCTCTAGAATATCGTATCAACCATATACAGAAGCTGCTGGAATGAGTTTTTTCTCTCAAGTGCGCAGATTTTTCGTTCCTGTGAATTATACATATACAACATTTTAAAGAACATTTTACTCCTATAAACAACCATAATAACCCTATTTCTCGTATCAGACATAAGCTAAAAGAACTTGCCAAGGATTTTTTTTGTCCCGGCTGATAAGGCTGCTAATGATATCATTATTGTTTGACGTAAATTTTACATTGAGGTTCTGCAAAAGGAAATCTCGAATTCACTAACATTCCAACTGACTCCATTTTCAGAAAATGACATATGTAACAAACATAAACTAATAGCTACTTCTTTACAAGCAAAACCAAATACAATGACAGTTCCAACCATGTACTGGCTTCCGAAGCTGCACAAAACACTAAACTGTCTATTCAACTTACTAGTACACTTGGTACAATCAAAAACCTGGTAATAAATTGTTCAAATAAGGCCTTTGAAAATAGTGGAATTAATTACTTTTGGAGTATCAAAAATTCGTTGGAAGTACTTGATAAATTGCATGCTTATATTGGTGATTTCGAATCTGTTCAAAGTTTTTCTACCCTATATACCACTTTGCCTCATAATCTTCTTAAGAAAAAATTCACACACCTAATTAAATGGCCATTTAAAAAGTCAGAATGCGAATATATATGTTCAAACTCTTTTAGGTCTTTTTTTAGTAACAACAAACAAAAGAACTATATCAATTGGACCTGCTTTGATACTATAACTGCCCTTGAATTTTTACTAGATAACATTTTTGTTCGCTATGGAGATTCCGTATATCGTCAAGTTATCGGAATTCCAATGGTGACTAACTGTGCACCACTTATTGCGGACCTGTTTCGATATTGTTATGAGTTAGATTTTATGACTAAAATCAGCAAAGACCCATCGAAACAACATCTGATACAACAATTTAATAACACTTTTAGATATTTGGATGATATATTGGCTCTCAATAATGACGACTTCAGTATGTACACTAAAGAGATTTATCCGGCTGAACTGACTTTAAATAAAGCTAATACTAACAACGAACACTGCCCTTCCTGGATCTTGATATCTATATCTTTAACGGGAAGCTTAATACCAAAATTTATGATAAAAGAGATGATTTTTCATTTCCTATTGTTAATTATCCATTTTTAGATGGTGACGTTCCCTTGTCACCATCTTATGGTGTTTATATATCCCAACTTGTTCGATTCGTTCGTGTATGTAACAAAGTATTTGATTTTAACGAAAGAAATCTCTGTATTACTGACAAAATATTACACCAGGGTTCTCGATATCACAAACTAGTCAAAACATTTACTAAATTTTACCATCGGTACAAGGTCATCATTCGTAAATATAATTCAACATGCAGACATCTTATACGTTCAGGTATTTCATATCCAATCTTTTATGGTAATATTCTTTTCAAAGCACAAAAATGTCGGCATTCACCTAAAAAGCTAACCAAACCTTTAAACAGACTTATTCAGAAGGGATATAGTTACGATACTGTTGTCAGGTCATTAAGATGGCATATTTTGGTATTAATATTGATTCACTCGTAGTGTCTTTGCATCGGAAATAAACACATTTATTCTAAAACCAGTTGTTGGCATGATACGGGTTATGTTCGTCTCATATATTATATGATGGTATGATACTAAACCCCTAACGGGAGGGATTGTGCTTGATTTTCATATGATGAAGACATACTCTTTCGATCATTTTAATTGAGGTCTGGAGCTGGCATGTCAGTAACTGCTAGTAGTCCTTTATTAATTTATGTATCATTGTCATTTTGCTTAGTTTCTTTTGTTACCTATTCTGACATCGGGCTCTGACTTTATAAAGTGAGTTTTACTGTGCGTATTGCTGTGTGTTTGTTTTTTCTACATTGGCTAGAGGTATAGGGGAGGGTTGAGATCTCACTAAACATGTTTAACCCCGCCGCATTTTTGCGCCTGTCCCAAACCAGGAGCCTCTGGCCTTTGTTAGTCTTGTATGTTTTTTTTAATTTTAGTTCATTTATATGTTTTGCAGTTTAGTGTGACGTCCATTTTCACTGAACTAGTACACACTTTGTTAGGGGCCAGCTGAAGCCCGCCTTCGGGTAAGGGATTTTCTTGCTGTGTTGAAGACCCATTAGTGGCCATCGGCTGTTTTCTACCCTTTGGTCGGGTTGTTGTTATCTTTGACACATTCCCCATTTCCATTCTCAATTTTATGTAAGAAACATTTTTAATCTAAAGGTAAAACTTTACCCACAAATAATTCTGCAGAATTGTCTAGTAAGCTGAAATGTCGATTTCTAAATAGGCTTATACGGGGCGACACATGTGACGCAGGATTAACTTATTCTTCCGAAGCACATGAGATCACCCTCGGTTTTTTTAGGGGGTTCGTGTTGCTCAGTCTTTTGTTCGTTTTTCGTTTTTTTCCATGGCATTGGCAGTTTCTTTTCGACTTATGAGTTCGTATACACCTTTGGTATCTTTCGCCTCTCTTTTAGTAGTGCTTTAACATCACTTTCCTAGCATTTTTGCGCCTGTCCCAAGTCAGGAGCCCCTGGCGTTTGTTAGTCTTGTATGTTTTTTTTAATTTTAGTTCATTTATATGTTATGGAGTTTAGTATGACGTCCATTTTCACTGAACTAGTACACATTTTTTTTAGGTGTCAGCTGAAACCCGCCTCCGGGTGCGGGATTTTCTCGCTGTGTTGAAGACTCATTGGTGGCCTTCGGCTGCTTTCTGCTCTTTGGTCAGGTTGTTGTCTCTTTGACACATTCCCCATTTCCATTCTCAATTTTATGCCTCGTTTGTTTGTAAATTTATTTCTGCTTAAGATGCAATGCCAAATGATACAAAATGAATGATTAAAATCATCTAGTAAAGGTACTAAGATAATCATTCTAAATGAGACAATGCAAGTTAACAATATATAGAATATTATTTTTTATGTTTTACAGTTATTGTCACTATACTTGTGGAATATGGTGTGTTTACTATAGCAGCTAAAATCGGTACTACCATGTTAGTGATTTCTGTAGTTCTGGGTAAATTACTAAATTTATTATGTTCCTCCTTTTTCCTATTTGACCAGTTTTCTAAATGTGAAATGTTTAATGTGTAAATATTATTCAATAATTCAGAATATCGGGTTTGCAACCGATAAACCAACGCAATTGGCACATGCAAGTCACACATAGCAGAAGTGGTCAGAGTACATTCCGACATTTGATACCAATAACTTAAACTTCGTTGACTGCATTTTTTACATTTTTAGTGATCGAAAAGAGGCCATTTTCCATCCATTCCATAAACTTATGTATTCAGAATTTCTTTTTTCTAGCTACATATATCAATAAAATATTGACCAGCATTTCTTGTAAAAAGTAAAATAACAAAAATACCGAACTCCGAGGAAAATTCAAAACGGAAAGCCCCTACTTAAATGGCAAAATCAAAAGCGCAAACACATCATAATGGATAACAACTGTCATATTCCTGACTTGGTATAGGCATTTTCTTATGTAGGAAATGGTGGATTAAACCTGGTTTTATAGCTAGCTAAACCTCTCACTTGTATGACAGTCGCATAAAATTCTATTAAGTGACAATGATGTGTGAACAAAACAAACAGACATAATAGGTAAAAATGTCAAAATAGGGGTACAACAGTCAACATTGTGTTGTAATCTTAATCACTATAAAAACAAACAAATATGTAACAAAGAAACACAAAAAGGCATATCTTTGCATCGGAATTAAACACATTTATTCTAAAACCAGTTGTTGGCATGACACGGGTTATGTTCTTCTCATATATTTTATGACGGTATAATACTAAACCCCTAACAGTAGGGATTGTGCCTGATATTCATATGACGAAGACATAATCTTTTAATCAGTTTAATTGAGGTCTGGAGCTGGCATGTCAGTAACTGCTAGTAGTCTGTTGTTATTTATGTATTATTGTCTCTTTTGTTTCCTATTCTGACATCGGACTCGGACTTCTCTTAAACTGAGTTTTACTGTACGTACTGGTGTGCGTTTGTTGTTTCTACATTGGCTAGAGGTATAGGGGAGGGTTGAGATCTCACTAAACATGTTTAACCCCGCCGCATTTTTGCGCCTGTCCCAAGTCAGGAGCCTCTGGCTTTTGTTAGTCCTGTATCATTTTTAATTTTAGTTTCCTGTGTATAATTAGGAGTTTAGTATGACGTCCATTATCACTGAACTAGTATACATATTTGTTTAGAGGCCAGCTGAAGGACGCCTTCGGGTGCGGGAGTTTCTCGCTGCATTGAAGACCCATTGGTGGCCTTCGGCTGATGTCTGCTCTATGGTCGGGTTGTTGTCTCTTTGACACATTCCCCATTTCCATTCTCAATTTTATATATACAAAGCACATAAGCAAAAATTTACCATAGCACAATAACACAATGACAGGGTGTATAAGTACCGAGCCACGTCAAATGGATATCACCAAAAAAAGACTAAATAGTAAAAGTATTATTCAAAAAGACTAATTAAAGAATACTATAAAGTGCTAGTTTTCTAGTGTATGAAAAACCTTCGAACCTGATTGTAATAATGATAAAATGTCTATTGTAGGTACTGTATACGTGGTGTATATATTTTCTACACATGAAATAGTAAAGGTATTATGATAACTTTTTTAATTATTACATTACATTTTGCCAGAACAGAATAGTGCAAGACACATTTCATTAAAACATTGTAAGGTCCCAATTACTACAACGAACTTCACCTCGATACTTTATTTAATGATACTATCTAGGTTATGGTTTACTATAAATAAAGAATGTATGGGAAAGGGAGCATATACGCTTTAAAAGAAAAAGAAGCCAAGGGCTCTCAAAAACAATAAGTCGAAGGAATACAGACAACACCATGGAAAGTAAAGAAATCCCTCGTCGTTATAGTATACAATAAGATTTACTAAATACAAGATTGAGTACTCTGGAATGGTTAACATTCCCTTCTCCAATAGGGAACTCGTCGTTTTTCTCATTTCAATAGTATAAGATAAAGGTAGTCATCCTAATTCTTTGATGTGATAAAGGATAAAATTGAGAAGGATATTAAGGAAACAAAACATGAAAATATCACTTAGTCATTTTATGCGTCAAAAGGGCCTTTTGGGTTAACCTTAATCTGGTCTCTCGGTCACAAAACGTTACTCAATACTCGGAGTATAAAATGTGTGCTCGAAACACCAAATCCTGTTTTTTGATTGGTAGATTTCTTAGTTTGAGTACAATAATCGTGCTCGAATTGTTTATAACCGCGAGGCCAGGAACGCTCAACGCCAATATAATTAATAAAATATGTACAAATGTCGAAAGACGTGAAAAGCTATATAACCAAAAAGAGACATAAAAATAATAGCCAAATGTATTTCAGGTAAGTTTTGCCTGAGGCAGTTGGAACCTTAGTTTGTTAAGAATATTTAAATTCATGAACTCGACGGATACTTTTTGAAAGACATGTTATAAATCATGTTAGTGACGAAGCACTACTGAGATGAGGATATAACACACATTAATGAAACATATTCGTAGTCAATCTTAATTCGAAGAACTTTTATCCATCTTCATTATAAATCTTTCAAACAGCAAGTAAATGGCTCACTGCATGAAAGAATATGTATAAAAATCAATATTTAATGCTCCTCAAATTCAAATCCATATTAGATGACATGGAAGAAACCTTAACTTTTTGTCTTAATCGACGAGGTCGAGAAGGCGAGACAGGTGTGCTGTTTCCGACCGACCTGGTTGTGAAAACAATTTGTCAAGTTTGTGATTAGGTCAGTTTGAGAAGAACCACTAATGGTAGGTCAATGATATGTGATATGCAGTAGGTATTCGATACGGAAATTATTGAAATTTTACTTAGTTTAAATGTTGAAATTTATGGTCAGGTCAGTTTGGAAGGGAGCCACTTATGGTAAGTCTTTGGTATTTGATGTGTAGTGGTTCAGTATTAGCACATCACATATCCATGGAGAATATTTGGCCCCTACCCCACTGTCATGGTCTGTTAACTTTGACTTAAAATAAATTGTTAAAATTTGTGATCAAATCAGTTTGAGGGGAACCACTTATGGTACACAATGATATTTGGTAAGTAGTTGTATAAGTATTAGTACATCTCATTTCCATGGAGAGTATATGTCCCAGTCCCTGGTCATGATTTATTGACTTAGGAATTATGCTACATGTTAAAGTTTGTGACTAGGTCAGTTTAAGGAAAACTTATTATTAGAAGTCAATGATATTTTGATATATAGTTGTATTTGCATTGGCATATCTCATTTCCGTGGAGATTTTTTGGGTCCTGAATCTTTAGCCATTATTCATTGACTTTGGATTGTTTGCATATTTTACATGTTAATGTATTGCCAAATCAGCATTTGTATATAACTTTCAAAATTGCATACAGGCGAGACATACCACTGTGTCACTAATTTATTCTTTTCCGTCATACCCCAATTAAGAGAGAGGCGAAAGATACCAAATGGACATTCAAACTCATAAGTCGAAAATAAATTAACAATGCCATGGCTAAAAAAGACAAAGACAAACAGACAAACAGACAAACAATAGTACACAAAACACAACATAGAAAACTAAAGACTAAGTAAACAGCGCTTTTGCTTGTTGTTGAACGATGTTTCTAAAATTCAAATAGTTAAATAGAACGATTTTTGTCACAAAAGGATACGTAAGTTTGAACGCTAACATTAGTTTAAATGTATATACATTTTATTTATTCAGTCTGCACTTAGAGGAAAAGGAGTTCAAAATTGTTTTATGCATACATGTAGTTTTCAGTAAACATTTGATTTTCAAAATGCAGTGTATTCATTGATTTCTCTTTCCAAATCTCTTTCTTTAATTACAAGAAGATGTCAATGTTACACTCTGTTGGTTCGAATTGATGGTTAATATACATGTACCTATATGGCAATTGTTGAAAAAAGAACGACGAGCGATATTATTATAGCAGGACTTAGGCTTACTATGTCGAAAGTCCGACCTTTTGGGATTCATTCAAATACATTTGTACACATGTTTTTATGCTCTAGTTGACTCTATTGATTTAATCATGATGTTTATGACGTCAATTTTTGTATACTAATCCATAGTGAGTGAAATAACTTATTCAAGCATCATAGAAGAAAGTGAAAATTACTGCATGTGTCATACCAAAATCCGTATCATTTGTTTTAATAACATATATTTATACTTGATATTATTATTTATTTATTCAAAATATGTTTTAATATGATTCAAGAATTAAAAAAATGTCAGTATAATTATCAGTCAGTGCGTTATTGTTAATTGTTTGTTTCAGCCTCGACTTACCTATGATGAGTATTACGAGGTACTGATTTATAAATTACTTAAAGCTGCTTCTCAAGGCGACCTTAAAATGTTGAAAAGGTAATTGCTTTAATTATATTGATGCTACAATAATATGGGTAGAAGAACGTGCAGGGTCTAAGTCAATGAGCACCCAAAGAAACAAAATAACCATAGACTAGTGGGCATCTTAGTCTTCAATAACGTTCCAAATGGTCCAGAGTGTATTGATTACAAATTATTTAACAGAAACAATAAAAAATATGCCATCAACATTCAAATATAATGACAGTACACATAAAGATATGACATATGACAAATATTGACGAGGAATCTGAAAGGCACAGACAAATGAGGCGGTTTAAACTAGTTTCTGAAAATGTCACACTCTTGTTTTCAACATTTATGATTTACAAAAAGAAATATGTAATTCCTTAGTCTAAGTGGAGTTAAGGATTTTCCTAGAAAGACTATGTCTTGTCATTGATATAAAATGGAAAACTAGATGTGTTTAGTACGACACAAATGCACTTGTCTGCAGTCTTATTACATAAGCTGGAAAACTGGAAAGTATTCAATCTTGGTCTGTAGTTCATAATTATACACTAATGTAACAAAAATTAATTCCAGATCTGAAGACGGCTAAAAAATGTCCGGACAAGTACAATTTAATGAAATGTTGGTTTTGATGTCAGATCTGTGATAGTCTTTGTTAGATTTATTCACTTTTCTTTAATTTTAGACTCGGGTCGATATAAAGTTTGACATATTATGTAGTCGCCTGTACATTGTTGAAAACTTTAAGATATGGTTGGTGTTTAATTAGGTAGCTGCATTATTTATGTTTATCGCACATCTCCTTTTATCCGTTTTGTAATATCAAAATAAAAAGAAACAAACTAAATCATGAAAATTCTACTTATTTGGTTCTTTCTCTCTCTTTTTTGTAACGTATGTAGATCTTGAGCTGGATTTGGAACACTGTTGTATAATTAAAATACTAGTAGTGACGTACAGATTGAGAATGTGTTTCGTTCATATTGACCGACTGCTCTGGGATTTACGAGCCTTTTTCTCAACTGACCAATATACCCTGTGTGATCTTTTGCCATCACTGAGCGTCCGTCGTCGTCCGTCCTCCGTCATTCGTTTACTTTTACAAAAATCATGTCCTTTGAAACTACTAGGCCTAATTAAACCAAACTTGGCCACAATCATCATTGCGGTTCCTTGTTTTAAGTATGGTGCCCTATGACCCGCCTGCCAACCAATTGGCCGACATGGCTAAAAATAGAACATAGGGGTAAGTTGTATCTTTTATCTTAAAAATCATTATTATAATAGATTGAGAAAATCTTACATTAGCAAACATGTTTAGAAGGATGTGAGATCTACCTTTTGTCTATTTACATCAAAACTGTCAGACAACATCTTTTAGGAGTTACAGCCCTAAAATGAAGAATTTATTATTTATTTTTATTTTTGCATATAATCTTGAAAATTATAATAGATAGACATAAACTTTATGTAGCAACACTGACCAGATAGATAAGGTCTACAAATAAGTCTGATGACTAAAATCGTCAGTCGGTTTATTATTGGAGTAATTGCCCTTTAATGACGATGTTTACCATTTTATTTGCGTCTTTTGCCTATTATCTTGAAAACTATGACATGTTTGATATATATAGAAAATTTATAGAAGAAAAATGATCAGTGTGACAAAATATACAGATAAGTCAAATTGCAGAAAACGTCGATTGACTCATTGGAGGATTATCAAAACTGATCCACAAGGCAAGATCTACAATTAAGTTAATATTGCTGAAACTGTTGGTTGAGGTATTGCCCTTAAAGAACTTTTTTTGCCCTGATGGGGGTTTGGACAACATCAATATAGAAAAAGGAGGGAAACTGTAAACAGAAAAAAAATTATAAGCAATACATGTTTAAAAAAAAAAAGAGATTTTATTTCTATTTGAGAAAACAATTAAAAGCTGATGCATATAGAGCTAGGTGAGCGACACAGGTTCTTTATGGCCTTTAGCTTGTTTTTTTTATAAAAATGACTGACAGATAGGGTTAGAATTCTTTCCGGTTGATCAAGTTTTCGCGGAATTTAAATTTGAACTTTATTTTTGATGTGTTACAACTCTTGCCCTTGAATATCTCCGGAAATTACGTTTGTTTAAATCCTGTTTTCTGGTTTTAAGGGCTAATTTTCCATTCAATAAATACATTTAAAAAATAGTTTCGTCATAATATCCAAACATTTAGTTCACCCCTCCGTTCATATAAATTCCCAAAGTATACAATGAACAATTAGACTGCAAAATGGAACATTCGTTACGAACCGATATATCTATTATTTTCTTATCAGTTTTTGATTTAACGGAATGTTGTTTAAATGCTAAAAAAATTGAACAACGCCTTGTAAATGTCTTTAAAAAGGATTTTTCTGTGTTGCTTTTCAGTGTTAACATTTAGCGTAAAACAATTCATCTACCATTCATGTCCATGCAGCATACTAGTGCGGGGACCTATACATGCTTATATCTTCGTTATTTGAACTCTGGTGAATAGTTGTCTCATTGGCAATCATACCACATCTACTTATTTTAATAGTATTACTCCTTGTGTTTTAGATCTATTTTGATTTTGAAAGTTTCGACCATGACTGATCACAATAAATCTAGAAAAAATGCTTGAAAATGCCGGAAATACCAACCATCGGACTTTATTTTAAATCTTTTTTTATATTTTAGATTCGCTAATCAAAGATACATTGATATGTACGATACAGATTACGACAACAGAAGTGCATTGCATTTAGCTGCATGTCAAGGGCATTATAAAGCCGTGGAATACCTTTTAAATAGCAATGCTGGCTATCCCAAAGGAATTGACAGGTACATTTTTTTAACAAAAGTTTTGTTTCTCGTCAATTTTGATGTGTTTATATTTCATTGCATACCTTTGAAAAATTGTTTAGAAATAAACTTTTACGGAATATTTAATCTAACAATGCAATATAACCGTGCTTATGTAAATCATGTAAAATTTTGAACTAAATTATTAATCTTGTTTATAAGAAAAGTGAGTAAAAGAAAGATACAGTAAAAATGTATTCCATATATGATAGCATGATGATTTGAATAGGACATATTAAGCTATACGGTAATGATACGTATACACCAAAATGACCATAACTGTCGGCTACTTTGAGCGTTTACTATTGACTTTTCTGATAAATTTAATGTATCAAATGCAATGTAAAACAAATGATATAAGTGAACTTCAGTTTTAAGGTGCATTAGTTACGGTATACATTTTGTACTAGTATATCACTAGTAAACTAATTTCAATCTGAACAGGTCATCTAAGACTGAACAATAAGTTATTTTATTATATCACTCTAAGCAGTTAGTTTTGTTAAATGTTGCCAAAATAAGCTTAAAAAAATCGATGTTATATTATTGACGTGCAATTCAATAGTTCAACCTCATTTGTTCCTATACAGGTATTGAGTATTTTGTTAATGATTTATTTTTTATTTTTATGCTTTATCTATGAAAATAATATTAAAACTAGAAAAAATATTCGTATTTTATTTTTTCCTGTCTGTTATATTCAACGTTATAACGTGGTCATATCGATAGTTTATTAGATAACGTCTATCAAGGATGCACACCAAATGTTAATATATTTAGAAATTTTCAGACATTGTGTTTTGTTTCCCTTTCAATTTTTGTAGTTCTGAGCTACGTTTAAGTATATATTTAATTAATTGTTTTAGAGTAATATTCGATGGGCATCAATTTGGCAGCTAATGCCTTTTTAATGAGTGAATTTTCTATGTCTTTGTCGTCTTTTCATTGCTGATACTTAATCAGTATAGCGTTGCTACGGAAGCCGATAAGGGTCATTAAAAAAAAATTATGTCGTAATTACGATATAGCATGTCGTATTAGAGATCTCCAATAAAATGACTTTACTCGACATAACCGACCTAACTCAACGTATTTCGTCCTATTGCATTGAAGCATGACGGAGGGGAGCATAATCTGCATTTTTTTCTGTCTTTGAACAGGCATTTTTTGCTGATATAAACTTAATGTAAAAATCAACCCCAACTACTTTTTTTAATCTTTAAATATTTTGTTATTAAATTTTGAATGATTTTATTGTCACAAATATTTTAATGGAATAAGTAAGCTAGCAATTTGTAATCAAATGCACCCATCATTTCTTGTCATTTCACTTGACCCATATTTCATTTCTTCTCAAAATATGAATTTTAAAAACTACCAAGTAAAAATTTAGCATGAAAATATTAAAATTATGAAATCCGAAGCGAGAAGGTTATCTTTTTTTTTATATAAATACGTTTTAACGTTTAAAAGTAGATTCCAACACACCCGAATGAAAAAGGTGTACGCGACTTACTTTTTAAAAAAATATTTTTGTATAATTTAATTCAAGATAATTTGACGTGGGCAGAAATTCATATCATTTATACATTTATCAAATAGTACTTTTTCGTCTTTAACTATAATAATGCATGGGACAAGTTTTTGTCCATGTATACCTAAACATGCATTCGGGGATACAGGGTTAGATCGCTAAATAATTTTGAAAATCTCGCGTTTTCCACGTTATCTTCACAAATTTTTAGTATAAAACCCAATTTTGTTTTGCATCGCTACGCTCGGCAGTATGAATTCAATTATCGGGAGCTACGCCTTCTTTCAAATATCTTGGATCCGGCCTTAATCACAAATTGTATAGCACCAAAAAAATATAATGATTGTCGTTTGACTTTGATAAATACGTTTTAAAAACAACAATGTTTAAACATTTGACCGCATGAGATTTAAAAGTTTAAGACTACATACTGAATTGCATTTTTTCCTGGATTTAGAGTTCACTTGTGATACTGGCGTGCAATCTAATGGACAAATAATCTTGCTTCTGATGTTTCTTTTTATATAAATATTTATTTATTTAGTTATATATAATTCCACTAACAAATCATCATGGATCTTTTGCCGATAAATTATTATTACATTTTATAGAAACTACATATAATCTGCTATACAGTTATGAACACTAATGGTCCTACAGACACTCTGTGCTTTTGACATGACAAAAGGTCTTGCTTTTGTAGACTGTTTATGTACTTTATATACTTAATTTGTGATATGTACAAAAAAGAAGATGTAGTATGAATTGCAATGAGACAACTCTTCACAAGAGACCAAATGACACAGACATTTACAACTATAGGCCACCGTACGGCCTTCAAAAATGAGCAAAGCCCATACCACATAGTCAGCTCTAAGAGGCCACATAATGACAAATGTGAAACAACTAAAACGATAAATATAACGGCCTAATTCATGTACAAAAAAATGAACGAAAGCACAGCAACAGCACGATAACCACTGAATTATAGGCTCCTGACTTTGGACAGGCACATCCATTCATAATGTGGCGGGGGTAAACATGTTAGTGGGCCCACTTACCTGGGACAGTGGTGTAACAGTAGGAAATAGTTGATTAATATTCTAGACTGGATTATTAGTTGTAGTTGTTTTTAAGATAGTGTTCAGTAGCTGTGAATAATCTAAGATTGGCACATGGAGTTTATTTGGATATATTAGTAATTGCTGTTTTTGTGCTTCGTTTAAGTCGGACGAGTCAATCCCTTGCTTACTGTTTTAATTATGAGTAGACATGATCATTTGATAAACATACTTGTATGATCTCTATTGGCCTTAACTTGGACATTTACAAAACCTATATAGCAAAGAGATGCATGCGTAAATTAAGTTCTCGCCATAAATTGGCTAAAATATCAGATAAGAATTTAGCCTCAAGCTATAATACTTACGACGGAGAAGCCTCAAGCTATAATACATACGACGAAGATTTAGCCTCAAGCTTTAATTCTTATAATGATACTGATGTATGTCTTATATCCAGCGACAAATATTACATAAATTATGCTTTATGTGCATATATTATTATTCTAGCAACACTTGTTTTGATTTGATAACACTTTTTGTTGCATAATTTATTTGATTTTTCTCTTTGTTTCTCTGTATCGAAAAGCTCAGTTTTATTGTAAAATGGTGTTTCACAGCTTCCATAATCCTTGTGACTTGCTATTGTATTAATATCCAGTAGGCATGCAATTATTATTCTAAATAGTATAAAATGTTTTAACAAGTGAAGATTACCCCGTTTTGATCCAGACTTCCTTACCACTAGCATCTAAGATACATACACTGACAAAATATTGTACCCGCACTCATATCACAATCACCCTGGATGTCCTGTTCGTCCCCAGTCTGTCCGTTCAGCAAATATTTTCAATTTTCTCTTCAAAAGCATAAGTATGCTTAGCATGCATTATTTTTTTCGATTTATTCCTTACACTCTGACATGTATATACCCGGATCCGTGTGGAGCGTCAAACTATCAAACAGAGTCCAAATGGCGTGAATAACGACTACAGTGGCTCGTGCTGTTGTCAACAATAAGCAAATACTCATATCGTATTATCAGATACTAGTATAACTAGTAAGGCATTCACTTTGAAAAATGTAAACAGTTCAAACGAAAATAGATATTTTTACAAGAGTAAAAATAACCCACAAATGACAGAAAGTAACCAACGACATCCACTGAATTGGAAGCTCATGACTTGGGATAGCCAATATAGAATTTGGTTTGATTTAACGCGTTTATCAGCGCTCAACACTCTGGTGTAACAGCACAATATAAGAAAAAACCTGTAAAATTCAGTTGGAAATAGCTCAACTAATCAAATTTGTTTTAAGCCCAAAAGAATAACATTTTTATGATGAAAGACACAGAGTACTGATCTTAAAGTACCCCCAGGTACTGAAAGCTGATTCTTACATGTTAAATTATCTGAGAATATTAAACGTATTTAGTTAAAAAATATTAAGGAGATGTGGTATGATTACCAATAAGAAATGAAGTGGATGTAAGCAATGATAGGGAACCGTACGGCCTTCATCAATGAGAAAAATCCATACCATATAGTCGACTATAAAAGGGTCCAACTTGAAAAATATGAAACAATTCAATAGAGAAAACTACTGGCCTGATTTAAAACAAAAATAATTTACGAAAACCAAATATAACAGATATGAACCAACGACAAGTGAACCACCGGTTCCTGACATGGGACAGGCACATAAAGAATATATACATATTTAAAGTAATTATGAATATAAAATGTGTTTTCAGCCGTGTATCACCTTCACTAGTGATACTATGCATGGATAAGTCATAGAGTTTAACTTTTATATATGAATATATACCTCTAAGGCGAGACAAAAATTGAAACTAAAATTTTTTTCTTTACTCAATCAATATGTGATAGTTTTAGAATCCACTTCTAATTGGATTAGTAAGAGTTGTCTTAATCCAAAAACAACTATGCCAATATCAAGCCTTACTAATTAAAAGTAAATTTTAAAAAGAAAATGACTATAAAGACTGAAGTGGCATTATAGTTGTCTTAAAAATGTAACAAGTATATAAACTGGCGTTAATCTCATCCACTTTTAATCATAGATACTTTGGGACAGGACATTTTTTAGCTAAGTACTATGTACTATAAATTGATAGTTTACTATCCACAGCGGTAAATGTTTATATGCAAATTAGTCATCAATTGCTAATCAAGTACACCTCCCAAATTACAACCTATATAACGAATTGGTGTACACACTTAATTACATATATCATTATTATTTACAAAATTCTTTTTTTTTAATGTTAGTTGAAACTATTAAAATTTAAAGAAGTAGTACAAGACCTGTATTATTTTTTTAAAATATAAACATCCCTTTGTCGTACCTTTCCCCTGGGGAAAAAATCGGAGATTATAAATAAACTAGATTAACTGCAGAAGAAGAGAACGTTTGAAATTATGCTTACATGATAAAGTATGATGCATTCCCAAATTTAACAGAGACAAATTTTGACTAACACTTTGAATTCGATATTTCTGAAATTGCTAGAAAAATCTCTGTCTAAAAATAAATACCTACGGAAATTAAATATTTTAAAACATTAAGAGAGGAAGGAAAAAGGTACACATATCTGATAACGACAAATAAAAGCATGTCAAATATTAAATAATAGAAGGTTCATTTGCAAAGTCCATATCGAAAAACAAAGTCATGGTCAAAACCATGAAAGACAACTCAAATTAATTGTATGATAGGTAAAGATACGTGTATATACATGGTCTTATGACAGCAAAGTTTTGGCGGGAATCTTAATAATCACGTGATATATAAAAATCATGATTTCTTTCGTTTTTCATCACTTAGAAATACTTGATATTGATAAAATTTATCATGAATGGGTTTAATAGTTTAGGAATACTTAGTTAAACCTTGAGTGACGCAATTAACAAAATTAATAGGTTAGCAATAACCGGTCCCGTTACGTGCGTACGTCGAGTTAGGTACGTATGTCTTTTATTGGAAATCTCTAATAACGACATAACTATGTCGTAATTTCGACATAGCATGTCGTAAAAACGACATCACTTTGTCGTAATTTCGACATCGCTATGTCGTAATAACGACATCCTTATGTCGTTATAACGAAATCGCTATATATATATAAAATAGTATGTATTATGATTGCCAAGAGACTATATGACACAGAAATTAACAACTATAGGTCATCATAATGCCTTCAAAAATGAGAAAAGCCCCCACATAGTCAGCTATAAAAGGCCCCGAAATGACAAATGTTAAACAATTTATTTCAAACGAGAAAACTAACGGCTTTATTAATGTACAAAAAATGAAAACAAAACAAATATGTTACACAGCAACAAACGACAACCACTGAATTACAGGCTCCTGATCGCTATGTCATAATTACGACAACCTTAGCGTTGTCACTTTTTGAGGCGATAGAAAATTCAAAATGGTCGTCAGTGACAGGCAAAGTTTGAAACGTAAACATATTCATCTTTTTTTGGAGAATAATGACCACTAAATGCAATCAAGCTTAATTAAAGTTATTTACTTGCACATACTAGAACTTTTTTTATAATCAAGTCAAATGAGACCCAGTTGCACAGGGGAGCGATTCGGGCTTCTTGGAGCCTCTAGTTATGTTTGGCATGTACTGATTCGTGTAAAATATGACTGCATTTCCGTTGTAGATTCTGAAGAAGATGAATTTTAAGCTTTTCCAAATAAAGACTGTTAAACTTTGGACTCCTAGTCCTCAGACCCATGGACCTCTGTACTTTCATTTGTACACAATGACCTACTGATGCTTGATGCAAATTATAACTGCATTGCTACTGTTGGTTCTTTATGAGATTCATACAGCGTCCTCCCCATTGAAGCCTGTATTAAACGTTGGACCCCAAGTTCTTTAAACCAATGTTCCCCAGGACAACTTTTCCTACAAACTTAGGGGAGGGTTAGGTTCCCGCTAACATGTTTAACCCTGCCACATTCTGTATATATGTGCCTGTCCCGTCAGGAGCCTGTAATTCAGTAGTTGTTGCTTGTTGATGTGTTGCATATTTGTTTTTCGTTTATTTTTTGTACATAAATTAGGCCGTTAGTTTCCTCGTTTGAACTGTTATACATTTCTTCTTTCGGAGCCTTTTATAGCTGACTATGTGGCATGGGCTTTGCATATTGTTGAAGGCTGTACGGTGACCTATAGTTTTTAATTTCTGTGGCATTTGGTTTCTTGTGGCAATCATACCACATCTTCTTTTTTTATATTTAATCCTCATCATATAAGGATCATCCATTCTCTAAGATTGATCCAATATGGCCTGTAGTTCTTAATGAGAAGATTTTTTCATTGGAGCCTATGTTTAACTTTAGACCCCTAATAATCGAGCCTAATGGGTCCCCTGGTCGTCACCTATCACCTAAGGAACTTGTGTCTCGTACTCGAAGTGGTATGCGAGCGATTGCTATCGTTTGTTGTCCGTCGTCGTCTGTCGTAAGCGTGTTTTAAAAATCTCCTTTGAAACTACTGTACAACATTCTTTAAAAGTTACTTTGATTTTTCCTTGTTAAATGTTTCCTTCACAAAAGGTGTGCTTTGATTTTTGACTCCTTAAAAACACAGCCGCTGTTATTAACTTAAAAATATAGGACATAATGGTCACACATTAGATTTTTGATAATGTCTCGAATATCGTTACATTTATCTCAAATCTGTTGAGGGTTCATCATGACAAAATGGACCTATGCCGAAAATTTCAGAAAGATCAGTTTGACCCATATCTAAGTTATGTCCTCTAAAACATTTTTTGGGGATAGCTACATGTATTGTCATCACTTGAAGTCCGTCGATTTTGACCGGCAACCAACAGCATGGACACTGTTACTAAATAAAGGCAACAGTAATATACCGGTGTTCAAAGGTCATAAATCGATTGAGAGAAAACAAATCCGGGTTACAAACTAAAACCGAGGGAAACATATCAACTGTAAGAGGAAAATAACAGAACAACAGGAACACTAAAGTGAACAAAAATAAACCCTTAACATACATAGAAAGAACTATTTGATAACAACTGTCATATTCCTAAATTGGTACAGGCCATTTTAAGAACAAATGGTGGGTTGAACTTGATTTAATGGCTAGCCAAACCTCCCGCTTTATGACAATGTTAAAAATGGCGCTGAAATGATAACACTACGTGACAGAAATACAGATCAAACACACGAAAGACCATATATCACAGAGAAACACACAAACATATAATATACTACAGTGTAGTAATAGTCTCAAAATATGTAAACTGCAGAGCAACAGCGAACATATTTCATCAATGACAAACACCACATGATATAAAAAACAGTTAAGCGCTTACGTAACTCACATGCAATCTCGAACTGTATGCAATTATTTCCACAAAACTATACAAAAAGACCACATAGCGAAATAGCAGATTTTTACCTCGCCTGCGACGAACGTCATAAATAGCGAAACTTTAGGAATTGATTTTGCGGCGACGGCGGCTAAATTTTATCAACATTTTGTGATTTTTGTAATCTTTAATAAAAATTTAACGGTAAATACAGACGACGACGGACGACAAGCGATTGCAATAGCAACCATAATCCTTCTGGTACTTAACACATCTTCTTGATGTGATCTACATAAATGCCAAATAATAATATAGAGGCTCCAACAAGCCTGAATCATTCACCATTTCAATGGGTCCCATTAGACTTGATTATGAAATAAAAATCTATTATGTGCAGACATATAGCGTAACTAACTTTAATATTAATTAAGCTTGATTAAATTCAGTGTTTATCATTCTCAAAAATGAATATGTTTACGATAGGGTTTTGATACAAACTTTGCCCTAACTGGCGGCCATTTTTAACTTCGGATCAGTTCAAAACGTAAAAACTCTTTTTAAGGACCTGGATACTATTTACACATTGTATATTTATACTAAGTTTAAGCTCAGTCATTTCAGCGATCTTGAGAAGCAGATTTTGAACATTGATTTTTTCAAAGTCCCTTGGCGGTCATGTGTTTTAACCAATGTGTAACTAAGTAATAACACTTGAATAGGACCTTATAGTGCACACGTATATCAAGTTTGATTCAATTCTGATAAGTAGTTCTTAAAATAAAGATGAAAATGTTGTTTCCCATAGTGTTTCGATGCTCACAAAGTAGCAATGTTAAGGTTGTTGTTATAGATGATATAGATGATATGTCGTAATTACGATATAGCAATGTCGTTATTTCCACATAATATGTCGTTATTACGACAAAGCGATGTCGTTATTTCCACATAATATGTCGTTATTACGACATAGCGATGTCGTTATTTCCACATACTATGTCGTTGTTACGACATAGCGATGTCGTTATTACGACATACTATGTCGTAATTACGACATAACTTATTTTTTTTGAATGACCCTTATCGGCTTCCGTACGTTGCACATAGGCGTAGGTGCAGAAATAGTTATAATATGATTTAACGATAAAAGATACCAAAGTCGAAATCTAACATCATACGCCTAAAAAGTAGTACAGATCATTCAGGTTAACACTTGGGCTACACTTGTTATAATTTGAATGTTTTAGGTGCATAGGTTTTACAGCTGCCGACGATGCAGATTGGCATTTGAAACGAGAGAAAAACATAGAACGTAGAAATGATTTTGAAAGAATAATTGGGGATTTAAAAAACCATAAAAGTTCACAGAAAGTTAAGGTAACAAATAACGGATACATTTTAAGAACTAGGTAGATTTTATTTTTTTATGAGACGACTAGGTCAGTATTTATCCAATTTGGTGTGAATGATTACAAGGAAGGGTTGGTAAGCGTCATCCATTCGAACATTTTCGGACGCCATCACAAGCTGGTTGACCGTTACTGAATATCTGTTTGACAGATGATGATGGAAATTTTCCAATTGTCGTACCCATAGTCCCATACTCTTGTTCTCGAATTTAAAATCAGAGAATTAGTACTTACATGAACAACACGACGGTTGCCATATGTGGAGCAGGGTCGGCTAAGCTTTCCGGAGCACATGAGAGATCACCCGAATTTTTTGTGGGGTTCGTGATCTGTAGTCTTTAGTTATAGTTGTGTGTTGTAGACTGTTGTTTGTCTTTTTGTCGTGTTTCAATTTTTGCTATGGCGTTGTCTTTGACTTATGAGTTTGAATATTTCTTCGCCTATATTTTGCTTTTTATTTTTCATATTTATTTGATGTTACAGCATCACTTTAGAGACACTATTGCTCTAAAATTGATCAAAGCTGCTGAAAATGGAGACGTTGAAGATTTGAAAAGGTAAACCAAAGCACAAAGCTGACATGATTTAAAAAATTAGTTGCTTATTAATTTTTTTCACGGTTTGTTACGAAATATTGTTTTCACAAATATTTCCTTGACAGAAAAAAAATATTTAAGAACTGTGTCTTATTTCTTTTTTAGTCCAATGTTTAATGGAACTGTATGCTTGTTTCATTTTATAAAAAATATGTTATCTTATGTTTAAATTTTATAAACCTTTCTCTTACTGAAGAATTGTCTTTTAAAAATAACAGTCACATATTTTTCTGTGTTTTTACCATTAAATATCGTACTTTAAAATGCTTCCAATAGGCAAATGAGGTGCACTGTGTTAAACGTATAAGTATCGAAGCATTGTGTTTTGCTTTTTTTACATAACTTATCTTTAAATTTGATGTTAGACTCAAACTGAGTTGTTTAAAACAACTACAATGATCTTAAATCGAAGTGAGTTGCGATCTCAAAATAAGTAGAATGATCAATTATAAATATTGGATCGGAGCAGAGGTTTTGCCTTGCAACAGGCTACCTATGGATTCCGTAACTATTGTTTTTTCAAGGGTCCTTTAACTTTCAGTGAGAACGTAGTCCCTTAAAGGTGGAATCAGATTATACATTCCAATTCCGCTTGGCTTTACTGCATCTTCATACATCAAGCAGAGTTAAACGGACGCCCCACTTTTAACTAGTTTGTTTTCTACTGCGGGAGTGGAGATATCCATTGCCATATTTTTATACCTCAGTCAATCCTTTGATGTATTTTGCAAACCTTTCGGAATTATGGGTCCTCAGAACTCTTTATCATATTAATTTTTATGGCTTTGTCAGTTTTTCTTCAATTTACGAATTTGAATATTTAATCTCTCTTCTTCAAAAGCAACCATTATGCTTAAGCAGTTCTGTATTTTGAACTAAACAAGGTTGTGACATGAAGTCTAGTGTTATATATATTTTATAGCCTGCATAATTTGGACACGGACATGAACTTATCAGATTCTGATGGTCGAACAGCATTACACGCCGCCACAGAAAAGAAGCAAGAAGCAGTGATAAACTTCCTAATTGACCAATGCAATGTTTCTCCATTTGTAAGATGGAGGTATGCATTTATACAATGTTCTTATATCTAGTGGGAAGTTATTTTATGGATTTGTTTAATACGCTTTGGCATGTATGTGGATACCGGCAGCAATAGTCTGTTCTATTTATTCATCTGAAATACAAACGAGGGGTTAAAAGAGTGAGTAAAATTAATATGAAGAATGAAAAAGCTAATATAATTCTTTGATAGTAGTTTTTGATGTATATAGTATCATATATATTTTGAAAATATATTTAGAATTCCTATTTCCAGGCCTAGACTTTTGGTCCTTGTTGATCTTTTTGGAATTGATTATGCAAAGTCTAAATCTAGATGATACCTGTATTATATAGGTATTGACCAGGTTTGAGATTATGTACATTTTGAATTATATTAGTTTAGCACAAAATTATACTTGTAGGGACCAACGACCAGTTGAGCTAATCAAAGACGGACAAGACAACCAGAAGTTAAAAGACATGTTGAGTAAATATATGGAACAACAGTTAAATCCAGAGTCTACGGTACATTATATTTACTACACTTTATATATCTAAATGTGCGTGTACTTAACTAAGATGCAATTTTTCAATTAGGGGATCTCAACCATTTGGAAATTTCAAACTCTTGATGTTTTTTTTTTGTAAAGACGAGGCGCTCGAGTGTGTGTGTGTGAAAACGTTTATCAATTACATACTAATGACAAGATTGTATCGTATAGTTTGATAAGATAGTTGTTTTTTATAGAGTGACTGTTCAAGTAAATCATGCTAATTTAATGTAGCCAAGTACACAATGAAATCATTCCTTTGTTTTGCCATAACATAGCATGGCTGCGGTAATCAAGCTTTATGCGAACATGCTGCAATTGGTGTTGAGAGTCCTTCAAAAAAGGACTTTCGATTGGCCCTTACGTATCATTGTATTATCCACAAAAATGGGGAGCATATAATCGTAGCTTTATACGTTTGCCATCTATCCGACTGTCCGTTTGATTAAATACGTATGGTTTCAAAGTGAAAACTACATTTTCGCTTTCTAACTATATATGAAACTTAAACAGACGGTAAAAGTAGACATGGTAAAGGAAAAAGCGTATTAATTTGAGAGTCAGAAGGTAAAAGTTCAGTACCGCTCTTTCTGAAATAAGAAATTGTTGAAGAAAATAAATATGTTCTGGATGATAATTTAAATTTCTTTTGCTGATCTGAAATCGATTATTCAGTTCAATAGGTCAAAAGTCAAAAGTCTCAGCTGCTATATACAAAGGGAGGAATCTCACTGTTTTTTTTAATTGTTTGTCTATAGCGTCAAGACCAGGTGAAGTGAAAAACAAAAACAAACATGGGCTCAACGAACGGTTTCTGCAAATCATAGCCGTGGAGGGGGCATTTATCATGTTTATAACAGATGACAGATAAATGTACAAAAACGTAAAAAAATTTACCAAAATCAAAATTTCTAGATGTTATCTCTTGAATAATTGTCCCTCCGCTCTCAAGTGTACAATTCTTGCCAGATATTTATGAAATTTATATCAAAGGTTTATATCAGCAATGCCTCTGACAAATATGAACATTACTGCCGATCAAATACTTTTAAAAGAGTTTGGCTATTGTAAATATTAGTTATAAATAAAATTGAATTTTAAGCACTCTCACGCCTACATTTCTTGTAGAATTCTTATGAAAATTATATCATAGGTTTATATAAGCATTATGTCGGGTGATTTATAAAATCGGGGCTGATCTAACATTTTTACAGGAGTTATGTCTTTTTGAAATGTGATTTAGTTTGAACATTGCATTTTAAGCACCCTCACACCCACATTGTTTGTCCAATTTTTATAAAGTTTAATAATATAACAAAGGCTTATATAAGCAAGATCTTGGATGAGTGCCAAGAAATTATTTGGAAAATAACATTTTAAGCGATCTCATATTTATTAAAAACTTAAAACGATTTTTTTAGTAAATGCTCATGAGTAGATAAAATATGTGCAATGCGGGGATATTGATACAATTTACTTTTCTTACTGAGATATTGAGCTTAAGCCCTCTAGACCTTGTTTATTAACCAGGTATGTGGAAACCCTGCTCTATATTTTGAAGGTACCGAGTATATCTTGATATGTTTGACTTTTATAAAACAAGAATTTTTTGACAATAAAGAGAGTATACCATTATGAACTATAACACATTTGCCACTGTGGAAAATTATCGTTTTTGCGAAAGCCAAAGCAAAAAATATTGCACTTTAAAAAAAACCAAGCTAAACCATTCAAGGGCATACAACGCACTAATGTTTACTTTCCTGAATAAATGGGATGTTCACAGAACACTGTAAGTGACAACTTTAAATTTTTTATTTTTTAGGTAACTCATAATCAAAGTGAAGACGAGGATTTTAAGATCGTTAGAATATTGAACAGTGCATCACGTGGAGACATTCGTCGAATGAAAGCGTAAGTTTATCGTAACATATTAGATATGTAATTCGTATAACAAGACTTTATTGATATTATTTTCTTATATGGTAAGAATTGTACTTTGTTGTAGCTAACATCGTTTTCTGGATGAATTTCAGTAATATTAGTTTGTCGATATTCATAACTTTGAAACCTGCGATTTTGATGTCACTATTCAATTTATAACCTTTACACGTACCAATTTGAGATTACCCAAAAGCGTTTTTATCATTTACAGACAATGGACGAGAGAGAACCGTGCAACGGTCAGTTATTTAATCGCTGTATACAAGCAAATTTGAACATAGCGAGATTAGGGGTGTACGTCATTGAGAAAAAAATAGACATACGATACCAATGGAGCAATCGAAAATAATCAGTTGAATACAAACAGAAAAGAGCATTGTCAAAAATAACGGTGAAGTCAAACAACAACAGAAAACATAACACAGACGACCAATAATTGATCAACACGAGCCCCACCAAAACATGTACTTTGACCTATAATGGTTTACTTTTACAAATTGTGACTTGGATGGAGAGTTGTCTCATTGGCACTCATACCACCTCTTCTTATATCTACGTACTGTGATTAGAAAACACAAGTGTTTTTTTTAACCCATACACACTTCTAATCCAATATTTTGAATAGACTATGTCAAATCAATGCACATGAAATATAACCCGGTACAGGAAAAGCAATATACTCTTGAATAACTCGAAAACACATGATAGTTATAAGTTAAAAGTGGTTGCTCTGCTTTTAAAGATTGTCATGTTTTATCTTTGGGGGATATGACGATAGTAAGTGATGAATGTATTTTGATTTATCATAGATTATTTGCCATTTTGTGGTTTTGTGGATTTTTTAGATAAGCTAATTTTTGTGTAGATTGTTTGAAATTGTTCTTCAGATATGTTTAACAACATTTATATATACAAATGCTGTGGTTGGCAGTGTCTTATTTTGAACTTTGTGAAAGGTTAATGCATATTGAATTTTGTTTCTTTGTGCAGTTATGAAACTATTTCTTCCGAAAGTGTAGATTGATCTAGTACTTCATTTTTGTATGCCCCACCTAGTGCCATTATGTTTTTCGGTCTGTGCGTCCTTTTGCCCGTCCGTCCGCCTGTCCCGCTTCAGGTTAAAGTTTTTGGTCCAAGTAGTTTTTGATGAAGTTGGAGTCCAATCAACTTGAAGCTTAGTGCACATGTTCCCTATGGTATGATCTTATTAATTTTAATGCCAAATCAGAGTTTTGACACCAATTTGACTGTCCACTGAACATACAAAATGATAGTGCGAGTGGGGCATCCATGTACTATTGACTCATTCTTGTTCTAGATAGTTCAACACAATGCTTAAAAGATTAATCGCTGTGAATTCAAATGAAATAACATCCACTTTAGATTTTAAAAAAGGACCGCAAAATACAATTTCAAAAGATATTTCGGTAATGTGTAAATTTATTTTAATCTAATTTGAGGTTCGCGAACGGAAGACTTTTAAATTACCTACGAATAATGGTTTATGTGGAGCTATAGGACACGAATCAGGCGAATCATAACATAGCTTTCTGAAAAGGGATCAACTAAAATGGTACATTTTTAAAAAAAATTTTAGTATCGTTTGTCATTTGTGATTAAGTCATGTGTATTCATGAACAAATAAATGATTTCCCTCCGAATCTAGTTCACATCAATGTAAACATCCCAGGATTTAACAATAAACTCGTTCAAAATTTGCGCCTTTATGTTTGTTCTTTAAGGAATGAATCTGTTCCGGACCATATGAGTATTTGGACCATATCATGCGTGTATACTCATATGGTCCAACCATACGCGTATGGTCCGGGTAATTAATCTTTGAACGTCGAACCGTAATTGCGTAGGGTATAACCCTTCAAGGTGTCGTCATGAATTAAGTTTCTAAAAACGAAATTTTGTGACTAAGATAATAATTTGCTAATCATTAATTGTAACGTGATTAATGAAATAAAATGAATTTTACTTAACCTGAAGTTAAAATTACAGTAGAAGCAGTTTTGCATGGTCATCATTAATTTGTCTTAACGAAACACTTCTCCGAAAATAACTAAATGAAATGTAAAGCAAAAAGTCAACTGTTTACACATTAGCAATTGTAGCATTGAACTCTCTTCTTTCTTTATTTTGGTGATTCAATTGTTTTTATGTTTAATCAAAATTTCTTAAACATTTCAAATTATTTTAAGTTATTCAATTTGTTCATTGTCCTCTTTTTACTATTTACAATTAAAGTAGTTTATACGTCCTGCCCCTCTATTCTTATGTAGAAAGTCGGAAACCACTGTCATTGTACGATCGTATGAATAAGAGTATGAACACATCAGTTCAGTTTTAAAAAGTGGAAATTAGAATAAATTAAAGAAAATCTAATCTAAGAACCATGCACCAAACATCTGTGGTTTCACGTACGGACGAAACTGGCAACAGAATAAAGGTGCTTAAAATTGACTATAGATAGCGAAGACACGACAACAAATATATACAAAGATTCAGACAATATGTAACAAAGATAAAATATTTCAGTTAATAACTTGTGCCGATTTCGGTTCAGAGAACGAGCTGTGTCTGTTAGGGAAGTTTCAATTTATTCGAAAAATACTTACATGGCCTAAATACTCACATTGTCCAGTCTGTTAATAACCAAACGAGAATATACTCATATGGTCCGACCATACGCGTACGGTCCAAATACTCACATGGTCCTGAACATATCCATATTCATGCATAGCTGTAATTGCTTGTATGTGTTGGGGTTTTCACTGACCCCCTCATTTTGGGTATAGACCTTGAATGCTTTGATATTGGTAATAGTTATTCTATTGGATCTTGGTTAAACTAGTCACAACATCACTTGATGTGCGAAAGATGAATAACCTTGTTGCTTAGATATTTAATGTTATCATATATTGTAGCATGTAAACGATTTAAGATCCTGAAAGTCCTTAGTTCTGGAATAAATAAGAAATACTGAATACCACAATGATATATTAAACTAATTTTGAAACAATTCGAGTTAAGTTTCTTTTTCAACTCTATTAGGATGATCAGATATATTTTGGAAAGTATAAGTATTGTCCCTTTGATCGATACAAGACAATGTAGATCAAACTTTTATCTATGCATTTAATCCGTCTAAAGTGTAGTAATGGATATGTTAGTATTGTAAAACATGATTTTATTAGAGAAATTCGGCTTCGAAAAAGCGTTCTGTAACTACACGGATTCTGAATTGGTTCTTTCCCTTTTAAGCTCACCTGGCCGAAGGGCCAAGTGAGCTTTTCTCATCACTTGGCGTCCGTCGTCCTGCGTCCGTCGTCCGTAAACTTTTACAAAAATCTTCTCCTCTGAAACTACTGGGCCAAATTTGACCAAACTTGGCCACAATCATCATTAAGGTATCTAGTTTAAAAAATGTGTCCGATGACCCCGCCAACCAACCAAGATGGCCGCCATGGCTCAAAATAGAACATATGGGTAAAATGTAGATTTTGGCTTATATCTCTGAAACCAAAGCATTTAGAGCAAATCTGACATGAAATAAAATTGTTTATCAGGTCAAGATCTATCTGCCCTGAAATTTTCAGATGAATCGGACAACCCGTTGTTGGGTTTCTGCCCCTGAATTGGTAATTTTAAGGACATTTTCCCGTTTTTGGTTATTATCTTGAATATTATTATAGATAGAGATAAACTGTAAACAGCAATAATGTTCAGCAAAGTAAGATCTACAAATAAGTCGTCATGACCAAAATGGTCAGTTGACACCTTAAGGAGGTATTGCCCTTATAGTCAATTTTTAACCATTTTTCGTAAATTTTTGTAATCTTTTACAAAAATCTTCTCCTCTGAAACTACTAAGACAAATTTAACCAAACTTGTCCACAATCATCATTAGGGTATCTAGTTTTAAAAATGTGTCCGATGAGCCCACCCGCGAACCAAGATGGCCGACATGGCTAAAAAATAGTACATAGGGTAAAATGCAGTTTTTGGCTCATATCTCTGAAACCAAAGCATTAAGAGCAAATCTGACGAGGATAAAATTGTTCATTAGGTCAAGATCTATCTGCCCTGAAATTTTGAGACCAATCAGGCAACACGTTGTTGGGTTGCAACCCCTGAATTGGTAATTTTAAGAAAATTTTGCAGCTTTTGGTTTTTATCTTGAATATTATTATAGATAGAGATAAACTGTAAGCAGCAATTATGTACAGCAAAGTAAGATCTACAAATAAGTCAACATGACGAAAATTGTCAATTGACCCCTTAAGGAGTTATTGCCCTTTATAGTCAATTTTTTACAATTTTCATAAATTTTGTAAATTTTTGTAAATTTTTACAAAATATTTTCCACTGTAACTACTGGGCCAAGTTCATTATAGATAGAGATAATTGTAAGCAGCAAGAATGTTCAGTAAAGTAAGATCTACAAACACATCACCATCACCAAAACACAATTTTGTCATGAATCCATCTGTGTCCTTTGTTTAATATGCACATAGTCCCAGATGAGCGACACAGGCTCTTTAGAGCCTCTAGTTTGTGCTTATTATCGATATGATAAGTAAAGTCATTCGAACAGCATTTTACTATATGGTCCTATGTCGTGTTGTTTTATAACTTTCCCAGTTATTGGGAGGTTCGAGCGCTTGTAAACATGTTTACCACATGACATTGTTTTGTAACTGCCCAAGCCAGAAGCATAATTTCTGCCATAATTGTATGTTTTTTTATTATTGGTTTTATCATAAATCAGCTAGTTGATTTTTTTCTTTTGGATAGTTTTATTTTTTGTCATTCGAAGCCTTTTTCAGCTTACTATTCTGTAATGTTTTTTCTCACTGTTTATCACTCTACGATATCTTGTTGTTGTTCACATCTTTGTTGTTTGGTCTTTGGATTATAAGTGTGTCGTGAGCATTCATTCCACATCTTTTTATTTTTATATAGGTTTTTTAGCTTCGTAAAACTATGAGTTAAACACTGACGATAAGAAATTGTCTGTACAATAATGATAGTATATATCTTTTAACGTGTATACATCAACAAATGTAATTGAGGTTACTTGGTTGAAACACAAAACAATAATTTATAACCATTGTTTACTACATATTTAAAAAGAAAAATAAGATTAGTCATAATTAGCCTATTAAGTTATCGGATGGGTAACAAAAACAATTTAAAAAGACATCAGTTTGTTTAAATATTTTAAAAAGATTTTGTAATTACTGGCGCGAATCACAATTAAGGGAATTCAATGTGATATACGAAGTACATGCTCTGTTACAGGATCAAATCCATGTTTTTTGGCTGATTTTTACAGGTACAAAGCAGAACATATGACAGTTTCAGATTATGACAAAAGAACCGCGCTACACATAGCAGTGAGTAATAACCAGGAACATATTGTTGAGTACCTACTGAAAGATTGTGGAATGACAGAGGAAGTACAAAAAGCTGAGGATAGGTACACACTTTATTATAAGTGATATTTATTGTTCGAATGTAGGTAATAGTAGTTTGCCAATGTTCAAATCTCATAAATCGATACAGAAGATACGAATAAGTTGTCAAAATAATTGTTTTTAAGATAATGTTGATGATAAATTGTTTTGTCAAGTAAATTGAATTGAAAATTTTAGAAAAATCTTCTAGCTATTAAAACAAATGTATTCTATGTTTGCTAATTTCAAACAGTGTCTCCATACTTTTAAACAACAGAATGTTCTTCTTTTTTTATACTTTTACAAACTGTTTTGTTCTGTCCTTCGAATTTAATTTCATGCTACTGTACTATCGTTTACACTTTAAAAAAACACCTTAGATCACTCGACTAATTAGGCTTAACAAAATGTTTATACACACTTTAGACGAGTAATGTTTTGCGTTGTTGGCTTTAGATCAGAGGTTTTGTCTATTGTTTATAATGATAAACTTGCCATATAGTCACATCAATATCTTTTTATAAGATACATGTAAGTCTTAGTTTGTTACAATTATTTTACAAATGTTTCCTTCGGATAATATTGATACATGATGTTTCAGGATTTTCCTTCAATATAACTATAATAGACAGGTACATTTTTTGTTCTTAGTTTGCTCTGTAAAGTAACCAAAAATAGAACATTATCTGATATAATCACTTATTTCACACAGTTTTTAAGCATCAGAAGAAAGGCTTTTCAGAAAATATGAATATTAACCAAGACTTGGTGAAGATATTTGATTATGAAGCTTTTAAGGTGAAGACAAATGCGAGATTTGTCAATTTAAGACCAAATAAAAACATTTTGGCTTGAAGGGAGGCGCAAAATACCAAAGGGATATTCAAACTCAAAAGTCGATTACAAACTGACAACGTCATGGCATTCAAACAATATACAACAAAAAAAAACAAGCAATCGTAAACAAAACAACATAGATACTAAAGGCTAAGCAACATAAACCAAACCAAAAACCAGGGTTGATCTCAGGTTCTCCGGAATGTAAATCATCACATTCTCAACAAGTGGCACTCATAAAGACCATGTGAGCTTGTCTCATCATTTGATGACCAAAGTAAACTTTAAAAAAAATCTGTTTATTTGAAACTTCTCGGTCCAATAATTTCAAACTTTACCTGAATATTTCTTAAGAAACTGATTTTGACAGCTGTATCCTGTGATTTGATCAAAACGCAGACATGGTCGTTGTTACTAAAATTAAAAACATAGAGCAGAGTGCAGGTTTGGGTTATATCTAATAAAAAAGCAAAAAGTATCAGCAGATCAACAGGTCAAGGTCTATTCCCCATGAAATTTTCAGAAAAATCGGACGACCCAATTTTGAGTTATTGCACCAGATTTTTTTTTGACAAATTGCTTAACTTTTGGCTAAAATCTTAAAACTAAAAAAACTATATACACAAATAAGTCAACGTTGCTTATATTATCAATTGATCCCCTATAGGAGTTATTGCTCTTAAAGATACAATGATAGGTAGAGAGAAATGATTGATAGCAGATTTTAAGCAAAATAAGATCTACAAAAAAGTAAACATTGGAGAAATTGTCAACTGACTCCTTATAGGAGTCATTGTACTTAATACCTGTAAACATTTTATTAGTCCCCTACCGAAGAAGTCGAAGGGGACTTTAGGTTTGCACTCCGTCCATCTGTCTGTCTGTCTGCCTGTCGATCCGTCAGTCTGTCAAATCAGTTTTCCACACTTTTTTCTTAGTGCTTGAAGATATTGATTTGATTTTTGGTGTATTGTTTAATCATGACAAGTTACAGATCAAGATCGAATTTTGTTCCACTCTGTCGATTTATGTTTCTTGAACTTAGAAAATTCACTCAAATAATCAGTTTTTTGTCATGCTTGAATATATTGATTTGATGATTGGTATATAGTTTTATCATGACAAGTTACAGATCAAGTTCGATTTTTGTTATGGTCTAATGATTTTGTGCAGAGTTATAGTCCTTCACTCACATTATCAATTTTTCACATTTGTTTCGTCATGCTTGCTTATATTGACTTGATATTTGCAATACAGTTTAAACCATGAGAAGTTATAGATCAAAATAGCATTTTGTTCCAGTACAATATTTTTTTATACCGGTAGGGGACTATGTATTGCCAGGCAATACTCACAGGATGCTTGTTAATTTCTTGTTGCAGTAACTTTGATAGATAGAGCAACAATATATAGCACTAATGTTCAGCAAAATAAGTCCACACGGATGAAATTGTCAATTGACTCCTTGCTGAACATTTGTGCTATATGTTTATATAACGGATTATAATGTTTGATTGATGGCAAGTGGACAGAAAAAAGATTGAAAAAGTGAACATTCTAAACACATAAATCGTGGAGACACTGAGCACGCTAGAACAAAATTTTAAAAATCGACTAAAAGACAAACAAGTGTGACGTCCATTTTCGCTGAACTAGTATACATTATTGTTTTGGGGCCAACTGAAGTCGGCCTCAAGTTGTGGGATTTACTCGCTGTGTTGAAGACCCATTGGTGGCCTTGGGCTGTTTTCTGCACTTTGGTAGAGTTGTTGTCTCTATGACACATTAACCGTTTCCATTCTCAATTTAAAAGTCTACAAAACACCTTCCGAAAAGGTTAGCCTTATATTCTCCTCTCGTGACCCCGTTGTATTACGCCTATAAAGTACCTTGATAAGTTATATAAAGTGATTAGGCACCACGCAATAGTGATTGGTAGTTGTATTTTATCGAACCACAAGACATCACTTATATCGCAAAAACGATGTTTTTGAAATCATTTAAAATTGAACTATATTTTAGGTGGAAAAGAACACCGTTGATGGTCGCTAAGGAAAAAGGAAGAGGCAAGATATTCAAACTTTTCCTGACGTATTGTCCGGTGAGGCATATTTAAGATAAATAATGAAAAAAATGGTTTAAAATTATGTCTTATTTTCAATACATCTGAAAACCATTATTTATCTTTTATAAGAGTTAAGACTTTAAAATATTTTTAATCTTTTTTTCTTTTTTTTGAATTATTTTTTTTTTGAATGAGGTATTCCAAATTTGAAGGACTGAATATACATCTCACCTTTCTCAATGGAATGTCTTATCTCAGACTACTACAATGTATGTTTCAGTGCATATCACATGTTTATGCAAGTATGAATTTAATATCTTTAAAGAATTAGGGCACAAAACATCTTTACACCAATGAATCAAAAACAGCATAGTTTATTGTCTCGCCACCGACGAAAGTCGCAGTATGCGAGACATAGGGATTACTATTAGACGGCGGCAGCAGTCTACACTATTAGTATTAAGCTTTATATTTTAGAAGGGAGAAGAGCTGTATACTTCATACCTTGTATGCAGATACCTTATGTGAGGAAGTTTCCGTCTGTCATATGTCCATTGTCCTTGACCTCATTGTCATGGTTCAGCGACTGCTTGAAAAAAATTGTTTTGCCATGTGAATTTCTCACTTAATGTGAGTAAAAGGAAAACTACATTTGGTATATGATTTCCTTGCAACATCTACATGTCCGTCAGACAGGTTTCACCTCACCTCGACCTCATTTCACGGATCAGTGATGAATGTTAAAGTTACGTGATTAGGTCCGTTTCTCAGATACTATAAGCAGTATGTCAAATATATGTGGTGTATAGAATGATTGTAAGGGATACATGTCAGTCTGGCAAGTTTCATCTCACCTTGACCTTATTTTCGTGATTCGTTGGTAAAGTTAAGTTTTTGTGTTTTGGTCTGTTTTTTAAATACTTAAAGCAATTGGTCAATTAAATTTGATGTACAAAATTGTTGTAAGGTGTACATGTCTGTCTGGCAGGTATCATCTGACCTTGACCTCATTTTCATAGTTCATTTGTTAATGTTAAGATCTGTAATTTGGTCGGTCTTTCAAATATTATGTGCAGTTGGTAAACTATATTTGATGTATGGGATGATTGTATGGTGTACATGTCTGTATGGTAGGTATAATCTGATTTTGATCTCATTATCATGGTTCATTGGTCAATATTAAGTTATTTGTTTTGGTCTGATTTTTCAAATACTTAAAGCAATAGGTTAATTATATTGGGTGTATTGAATGATTGTAAGGTGTACATGTCTGAATGGTAGGTATCATCTGACCTTAAGATCATTTTCATAATCCGTTGGTCAATGTTAAGGTTTTGTGTTTTGATCAGTTTTTCAAATACTATTAGCAATAGATCAACTCTATTTGGTGTATGGAATTATTGAAGGTGTACATGTCTGGTAGGTGTAACCTTATCTTGACCTCATTTTCATGGTCCATTGGTCAATGTTAAGTTTTTTGTTTTGGTCTTTTTTTCAAAAACCTAAAGCACAGGTCAATGGGTGTATCGAATGATTGTAAGGTGTACATTTCTGTCTGACAGAATTTACCTGACCTTGGCCTCATTGTCGTGTATATTCAAAAACGTTAAGTTTATAATGATATTTGTAGTTAAACCTTTATCTTTAAGACTTTCAGCCTTAAATCAATGGTCAGAAATGAAGGCGAGACATTTATCGTGTGGACTCTTGTGTTTAAATGGAATGTCCCCCTAGCGTCGCAATATTATTTGTCGTGATATTTTTTTGAATTTTGAACATGCTATTACGTCAGTTTGATTCGACCAATTTTACGGGAGCTGCGGGATTTTAACCATTTTCTGGAGACTGTAAATAGAAAAAAACATCGTGAACACAAATACTTTGAGACCATTTGGAGAAAACTCTCATACTTGGTAGGATTGTTTGCCATTTCATGTGGTTGACTCTACTTTACTGCAATTTTCACTTGATCATTTTTGTTGGAGTTATAAGACTTCGACCATTTGTTGGAGTATTGTTTCAATTACACATTGTGAAGGCAGTTCCTCTGATACCGTATTTCGGAAAGCTCTCATATTTGAAGGATTATGAGCCACCATATATTGTTTACATATTTAACAATCGTTTTTGTTTGACTTTATTACAGGAGTAATGGGACTTTGATAATTATCTTTTTAACTATTGTACCACAATGACACTTTGTGATAACAAATCCTCTGACTCCGTTTGACAGAAAGCTCTTATACTAAATAGAATTGTTTTCCATCATGCGACTTTACCCATATGATACCGTCATTATAGTATAACAACTTTTTCAGGTCACTGTGCTTTTCCTATATTTTGACTTCCATAACACAATGACACATTGTGACACATATGTTAATTTCTCATTTATTCAGCGGCGGAGGACATTTCGGTACAGCGTTGCAATCTTGTTACTTATAAACTTGATTCATGTTTTTTATAAACAACGATCTCTGATAATTAGAGTGTTAGTACTGGAGAAAATTGGAGATTGCATAGTATTTGTGCAGATGGATAAATTTATCAAGGAAGTTTTATGTCGCATAATGTTTTTAATAATCATGGGGTGTGATTTTAACATGTTTTTGAAAGAGATGTTTTCCTTAAAAATACTTTTTATTAAATTAAATTATTTTTTAGAATTTAACAAACACAGAGAATGATGAATATAAAACATTTAGCTTATTGATGGCTGGTAACAACGGCGACGTAGAAACACTTAAAAGGTAAAAATACCTCTTTTCCGCTGAAATTGTTACAACATCAATATTTTTGAATGGGAAAACCTAAATTGAAAAAAAACTTATAGTTATGAAAATACTATACATTTCGCTGTATATATCTGATTGTGGAAATAGTGATAGAAGAAGAAAATTTAATAAAAAACAGTGTTGTTAAGACGTATTTAGAGCAGCTTCATTTAACAGTGTATAGAAGTTTCGAAGAGAATAGTGGTGCTTCAAACCTTACAGAAGTACCAGTAATGCATTCCTTTTGAAAACTATATCACATTTGCAAATATTTTTTTTTTCAACTCAAGGTATGCTTTCGCTAACTATGCTCAGTAAGTATCCCCTGCACGTCACCCATTGGAAAGTATGGCAATGATCTGAGTCCGTTAGTCAAAAGCAATTCAATATTCAGAGACCGTTTGACTTTCGTAGTTGGTAGGATTATTTGATGACAAAGTATCTTGATTGTGCTCTATTGTCAGTTTAATTTGACAATCTTTAAGGTAGTTAAGTGACTTCGACACTTTAATTTTAGTATTTAAACAATCACAGCATTTGAACACAAGTCATCTGGTTCATTTTTACAGAAAGCTCTCATACTTGGTAGGATAACTTTCCATTATGAATTCTTAACATATTGTGCCGCCATTAAAATTTGACTATTTTCACAGGAATAATTGGACTTTGACCATTCGTTTCGTATTGTAATTATAACACCATGTGAATGCAACTCCTCTAAGACTGTGTCACAGAAATCTTTTATATTTGGTAGGATTGGTTGCCATCATGTGTAATTGGCCAATCAATACTTTACGGAAGTTGTTAGCTTTTGACTATTTTTAGAGTATTTTGATAGCGTCACCTTGTCAAACAATTCAGCAAATGTCGAAATGAGCGTACCGTCGTCGCGTTATAAAGCCATAAAACGTCTTTATTCGGAATTTCTCCCTTTCAACTGGGAAACAGATTGATAATGCATCTGGTGAATGACCCGGACAAAAGCAATGTTTTGTGCTTTTTTTCAACCTTTCTGCTAAATTCTGAATAGAGACTATGTATTTCTCGAGATCAAAGGATGTATGTATTGCTCTGTTCCAACGTGTCTGTTCAAGCATCCATTGTGGCTGCATGGCCTCACAATGTTCGATTAAATTTGATGTTCTTAACATTTAATTTATCCAACCACTAAAGGTCACTCATCTTGTCATTACGTCGTCTGATCTTTTAATTAACGAACGTGACTTATTCCCGATTGTGACTGTTTTGCTGAGTGTGAAACCGCATTGCTATAAGACGTGTCACGGTACTTTTTCTATCCCAAATTCATGTATTTTATTTCGATGTTATATTTGTTATTCTTGTCGGATTTCGTCAAATGTCTTAACGTCTTTTCTGTTATATTTGTGTGTTATGGTAAAGATAATTAATCACCCCTTTCATTTATTAGATTTTAGTTTGGTTCAACGAAATTTATACGATATATTTAATTTGGTTTACAGTTTGATTCAGAAGAAACACCGACGTAGCTAGATAAACAATTAATTATCTAATTACTACCACAATTTGATATTAATAGTATTATAATTTTCATTGTAATTAATAAATGTAATGTCAGTATTACAAATCTAATCTTGAATCAATCCTAATTCTATCTTATTTTTGGGAAATATTTTTACAAATTCAAATGTGACGTCACTTTGTGTGTTTTTTTATAATTTCAAATGTGACGTCACTTTGTGCGTTGAGGCTTTGGCTAACTCGGCTGTGTATTTTTATGTGTTGGATTAAGTTGTTTTATGTAATGTATCCGTTTTTATTCTGTAGTTAGTCCCCACTTCGGTTTTATCATGTATATCTATTATATAGTCATTTCATAAAATTTAATGTTTGCAAAAGTATAAATTATTCCAAATAATAAGGATGTTCTTGTCCCAGGCAGAAAACCCTGGCCGTGTTAGGCGCAACTTTTTGGAAGTTTTGGTCCTCGGTGCTCTTCAGCTTTGTACTTGTTTTGGCTTTCAAACTTTTTTCATCTGAGCGTCACTGGTTAGTCTTGTGTGGACGAGACGCACGTCTGGCGTATTAATTTTTTTTTTAAACCTAGTACCTTTTGTTAGCTATTGTTCGTGTGTTTCTTTGTCCTATATGTTCTCCCATTTATTTGTATTGTAGTCATGTCATGTAATGTTGTCATTTTAATGTTATATTTAACATTGCCATAAAAGCGGGAGGTTTGGCATGCCACAAAACCAGGTTCAACCCACTATTTTTTTTTTTAAAAGTCCTGTACCAAGTCAGGAAAATGGCCATTGTTACATTATAATTCGTTTCTGTGTGTGTTACATTTTAATGTTGTGTTTTTGTTGTGTCGTTGTTCTCCTCTTATATTTGATGCGTTTCCCTCAGTTTTAGGTTGTAGCCCGGATTTGTTTTTATCTCTATCGATTTATGAGTTTCGAACAGCGGTATACCAATGTTGCCTTTATTCATCGCCAATAGCAATCATGGATAATGTCTAATAATTCCAGCTTTTAAAATCGAAAATCTATCTTAACATCGAAGTCCATTTTTGTGGGGATTCGCCAGTTTTTCTGTGTCATTTTCGAGGTTGTTACTCTGTGAAAGGATTCTTTTAAAATGACTTGATTCCTTTAGTTGTTGAAATGTTAAAAAAACCCATTCAATTCACAAGTCAAATTGTCCATCTGATCATTGGAATCACTAATATTCTTCCGTTTTTCGGGTAAATGACAATAAATGCAAACATAACATAAAAGAATGAAACCAGCAGGAAATATTTTCAATCTTCTGTCATGTACTTTCCAATTTATGTCACATGACTTGTTTTTTATTCAGCCATGCTGGATCTATGTGATCACTTCGGATTCGGAGATGGTGCAAAATTCTAAGTTAAAGACATATCATGAAAATAATTGTGTGTTTCTATGACTTGCCGAAGCTTTATACAACATTTTAATCATCAACTGTCAACTTTTAAATTGTTATTTGTCCTTATATTAAGAAAAGGTTGGGCGAACAACTTCTTTATTTTAGATATACACTTGCATATAGTTCCTTGGTAAATCAAAATTTATATTAAATTGCCGTTTAAGAGTTAATGTGGAAAATGTGATTTATCAAATTTAAGCAGTTGATAAGATTAACTAAAGTCTTTTATAAGTATCGTATGTTCCTGTAAGCCATTGGATAAAATTTGGTTCAAGATGTTTATTGATATCAGAGTTGATTCTCACACTTTTTTGAAATGCTATTATTCCCATGAGGAAACTTCTTTTCATTACACAAATAGGAGTATTGATACAATAACAGTATGATAGACAACTGTCACGATTTTTGAACAATTACACCCAAAGGTATAATTAATAATTGGATTCAAGTCCACTCAAATGCAGTCTTTAAAATTGACCATAGTTAATATATCATGACAGTTGATAATCATACTCAGGTATTGAGGTCACGAATTTGTGTATTCAATTTATTACACATCTAACTGAATACACAAAATCTTGACCTCAATAGTATACCTATTATTTATTTTGATCAACTCAACTCGCACAACATAAAATTGTTCTGTTAATTTTGTGTGAAAGCTGACTGACTAATAAGATGTTTATTTTGTTGTTTTTTTTTAAAGAAAAGACTAAAAATAAAATATGTATGAATAATGCAACCAGATTTTATTTCACTTGTAATAGCAGTGTCTTAATCATCTGACATTAGTTAATGATTAAGGTCTATTTAAATTACACTTATCAGTAATTTCGTTGAAACAATAAACGCAATTACATAACTCTTACCTGAGCATTTTTTGGAATAAATTTATCTGTATATATCCCATTATATTGCTATTTAACAGTAATTGGAATTATCTCAGCACTAGGTATATGTACATGTATATCTGAATACAGGACGAAGAATGAACACCAACTTAGAACCAAATTATTTATTTATTTTTGTTGTTGTTGAGAAAGGGCATATTTAATGCCTCTTTCTGGAAATTATGAAGCCTATTATTATTAATGACATATAAAAATATGCTACTCGTTTGAATTTTTCCCATAACATTTTTGTCAAAATCATTGAATTTCAAATGTTTCTAAGAAAAAGAAGATGTAAAAAAAATCGAACAGTGTCTTCAATTGAAATACCAAAATAATTTATTGCTAATGCTCCATCTTTGGAAAAGAGAATAGAAATTTTACAGTGAGATTATGGAAATGAAATTTTAACAAAAGAAATATTGAAAGTATGGTCAGAAAAAAAGTCTGACTAGCTGGATCACAACATCCATGATGCTTTGATTTATATTATGAAGGTCATGTCAAAACATATTATACCGGTTTTTTACTTCGACCAACCCGAACTAAAGAAGAATTAGTCACAACTTAAATTTAATATTATAATTTGTACAGGTTATATGACAGTGGTGTGAGCATGAATATGCAGGATTATGATGGTAGAACAGCACTTCATTTAGCTGTAGATGAATGGAAGGAAGATGCTATGAACTTTTTAATTGCCACATGCAACTGCAACAGAAACATAACTGATCGGTAAATAAAGGATTTTAGTTTTTATTACCTACTTCACCAATGGCAAGCTCTATCGTCGTTTACGTTTGATTGAGTTATTTGTTACAGTAGTTCGTTAGATTTCAAAGTTTGTGCCAGACAAATACTGATGTTTACAGTTTATTTTTCCTAATCAACTTTTATCACGTTTAGCTTGACCGTATTGTCAACTCATTATTTGTTTTCGATAGATATTTGCTTCGGAGATAATTTTTAAAGGTGATTTGGGTTTGTTAACTCATGTAAAATGGTTTCTAGAATTCCATCTGACGGACGTCTCTTAGTACAGATAGCTTGAGCCGTGACTTTAGCCGTTCACCAATTTAGTGTATGTATCTATACAATATGTTCTCCGTGAAGTCAATATTACTGGTCAAAAATGATTAGGCCATTTATTTCAAGTTTATTGTATCCGAGTGTTTATTATATCCCATTTTGTCGGTCTTTTTTAATGCAGCGTATATTTATATTTCAATAGCAAGACTTATCCCTTAGAAGTTAATAAATGAATTAAAAAGATTCTTTTTTAGTTATTTAATTGAAAGTCTTTTTTCTGATCTTTTGAGATATAAATGTCATCTGTTAATTTCTATATCACGAAGATTTAATTTAACTTTAATAATCATAACAGAAATTTAGTCTCGAAGCCTATATTCTTAATGCAATAAAGCGGACGAAACTGTTTTTAAATAACCCGGAAACATTATTAAATCTTTCGACTGATGCCTTGAAAGTAAATAATCTTTTCGGCTGAATTCAGATTTTCACTTATTGGTAAGGATTCTGTCTCTTGACACTGTCTTTCATATTAATTTCGAGACGGATTCTTACAATAAGTATCAATAATGACGTCATTCATTTCTCTTAGAAAAACAACATTGATTATAGTCGCCAGGAAAAGTACTTCGATTTGAGAACGCAATAGGGACTAGAGCGATTTGAGTGGATTATAATTGGTCTTCTATTTGGAATCTTACTATATTATAATTTCCGTTTATACTCACATTGGAGGAACGAACGTCCATTTGTGACCAAACGTCGATTTGAGTATCACTTATATGTAGGGATATCATGCAGCAACGTTGCCAGAATTATTATCTCAGCCGTTTTGAACGTCTCAATTACACGACAACTGTGTAGTTTCACTGTCTGTTTAATTTTTGTTTATACTTTTATATAAAGTGTTCTTCCTTCGTCATTCTGAAAGCTTCATTGTCAACAAATATTTTTTAAAGATGAAAATATCCGAAATGACTACTTTATACATCGATCAAAATGTTCACTGCTTAGCGTGTTTCATACGGTCTGATCTCCTTTGTTTGTATGTTGTATACGCAATCTTACACCGTACAGTAGTGCATCACATGTTTGTTTTATGCTGCTTTCTTTAAAGCTTGGGTATTTGATTGGAGTATCTTTTGATAGGAAAGCAATAGTTTTTCCCTCATCGATATAATCGTATGTCTTACATCGAAGGTCTCAACATGTCTGTGCTTAAAAGACAGATAAGGCATCTGTTCGAACGAGACACGTCATTTAGTAAGCATTTTGACTGGTGTTGAAATTGGTCATGTCGAATATTTCCGATTTTAAACCCCGCTTTGTAGGAAGAAGGTCTACTGTTTTTACATATCTGTCCGTATTTCCGGCAAAGTAACACGTAATCAGAATTTTTAATTTTGTGCACAGAAAAAAAACAATGAAGTGTCATTGCAGTTTTGGTGGAAAGAATATTTCGTTTGTTTATTGCTCTTTGATAAAAACTCATAAGATGTGGAAATTCCAAAATATGATTTATTTTCTTATTTTCACTTTGAGGAACAACATATCTAATGATTTCCTTTGAAAATAGAACTAATTTGGTTTTTCTGCAACCTAATGAAACTAATTAAATATATTTACGTATGAAGAGAACGGAATTCACACGGTAAATAATCACTCGATTTATAATATTAGAAATGGACAAAACAATGACATTTTACTATTATGCAAAGTGAAATTGTTTTAATGTGACTTGACTATAGGTGTTGCTGTTTACCTTGAACTATTGTTCAACCAGATTGTAAAATTGAAAATACAATTGGGACATTTAAATTTACCAGTTGGTATTGTTATAGTTGAGTCTACCTTGATGCTACCTGTATAGTTTTTTTTATTCACCTAACCCAAACATACAGCAATCTTTTTTTCCTGAAGTTTTTCTTCAACGATGGTTATTCTACTATGAAATTGAAAGGGAAGAAAATATTATTGGTTTTCATTGTTTTAAATCCCAAATATGAATTATGACCCAAAAATCTAAATCAGTACAATATTTTCTTAACTTCATGTTAATATGTATGAAAATTAAAACTGTTCTTACATAATAAATGAATCTTTAAATTTTTAACCCTTATACATAGTATTGTCCAGTTGTCAGCGAAACAAGAAATAGCAATTCAGGTGTTTTCAGTTTCAGTTTTCAGATGGATATGTTATGCATTTCTTTATATATCCCTTTAAACTTTTCATTTCGGAGTATTATCACTGTGTTTGCATTCTATTGGAATCAATGTGCATAATTTAGTAGGATATATTTTATTTAATTCACTTCCTAGATGCCATTTATTTTTGCTACTTAAAATGTGACTTGTTGTTTTTCCAAGAATGGATTTTCATGAATGTATCAAGGAAAAAATAATTCATTCAAAATGAATTGTATTCCTTTCATACATGATGTACATGTAAAATTCAAAATGATTTCGGAGTTCCAGTATACCTTTCAGATTTTTTTTAAGGATTTATTTGCATAAAAATACTGTGTGCACTCAAGGAAATTCACATTTTATAAGATGGGATTAAGTTAATCTAATAGGTAAAAACAATTCATAACTGGAAAACAAATAGGAGAAATAAGTTCATCCAACATGTTTCTTTGGCTTTAAATGTTATTTTGAAAATAATCATTTTAAAATTTTTGATCTAATATGAAGATGATTCACCTGTTTAAATTGGATATATATCACAGAAAATGAAATAAAATGTGAATATAGTGGATATGGTCAAATCTAGTAATAAAGTGAAAAATGTCAAAAAAGGGGTACAGTAGTCAACATTGTGTTATCATCTTAATCACTATAAAAACAAACATATGTAACAAAGAAGCACAAAAAGGCATACATCAAATTTAGCATCCTCATTTTGCTTGTATCATAGGTTTATATCAGCAATGTCTTGGACAAATTCGAAAATAAGTATTGATCAAATATATGTAACGAGTTATGCTTCTTTGAAATACTAATTATATTGGAAATTGCATTGCATTTGCTCTCAAGCCTTCATTTCTCTAAGATATTTATAAAGAGTTTTAAAGAACAAAGAAAATTTTTTTTTTATTTTATGGTTTGAAAGCTATAGGAGCTAGGTTTAAAGTGTAAACTTCCTAAATTGTCAGCATGACAAGATCTATCTACTCGGAGAGATTGAAAACAAGTTTTGTCCAATAAATGTTGATTTTTTTAAGGGTTTTTTTCTCGCAGTTTTGGCAATTATCTTTGAAAAAACCGATAGGACTTAAGTTTAATACGGAAGTTGTGTGAATGATCAACAACACAAAGAGCAACTATTGTATGTGTATATAAAAGTGATAATAAGCAAACTGGCAATGTTTTCACCAATTGAGTAAGGTTGTGCCTCTTGTTATATTTATTGTCGGTCAAAAATGAATTTTCAATTGATGAAACTTGCTCTTATCTATATTTTATTACTTTTGAACTTTATTGAAATGTTCAAATAGATATGGACATACAGCAGACATTAGTATGAATAAGAATGAGGAACGTCTGAAAAAATTTGAAGAAAAGTACATGAAAACAGAGGAGCCAGCAACTGTGGTAAGTGATGATAATATTTTGAAATTGTTTCTCCTTTTAGTTTGTTTGTTTTGAGTTTTTTTTTTTAAACAAAAAAGTATTAACATAAAAACCGAACTCCAAGGTAAATTAAAAAAATTAAATAAACGTGAGCCTGTAATGCAGTGGTTGTCGTGTGTTCCTGTAAATCATATTTGGCTTATGTTTGTTGTTTTGAGGATATATTAGGTCGTAATTTTTCACGTTTGACAATTCGGGGCCTTTTATAGCTTGCTATGCGATATTGGTTTTGCTGATTGTTTGAGGCCGTTCGGTGGCCTATGATTGCATACTTCTTTGTCATTTGGATTTTTGGTGGTGGGTTGTCTGATTAGTAGTCATACCACATCTTATTTTCATAATGATTAATTTGAATTTCCTGAACTTAAACGTTTAAATTGTTGTCTTGTGAATGTTAATTTTTCATCAAAAATTGCTGCCTGAAAAAAGTTTGAATACATGGTAAGTTGTAATCGTGAATGAATATATTTGGTAAATAGAATGATGAAAGTACTTTTATGTTTATTTGCTTAACAAAAGTTATTTATTTATTGTAGAAACGCCAGTCATCTGACGAAAATGAAACAAATGATGTAAAAAGGTAATAATAGGATATTATAAGTTTTTTACCAATTTTGGAGCTGTTGCCTTTGATTTTGGTATAATTGAAGGAAAACACGAGTTAGTTTATGTTTACACTATGCCGAAAAAATATATAAACTTTCAAACGGAATGAAATATTTTCATAAAGTTTTCTATGAAGTGATGCTTTGGTTATAGCCTCTAGTAAGTAGTAACCAAGTTGAAGGTAAAAATTTTAAAACAAGTTGTGAAATCATGCAAGCATCGGTAACAGAAAACTGCAGACAGCTGTCTTGTCAGTACAAATTTGTCTTTTAAAGGAGCGCAAACAAATCTGCTGTTGATTTTTCTTGCAATTATAACAAATACATTATCAATGCTATACACAATCAATAGTTTGAATTTTAAAATCAGTTTTGTGTGTATTTTTGTGAAGAATGCGCGATGGTTAGACAGTTTTGGCTGCTGGGTCCCAATTATTGTCACGTTTATCAATAATTTATATTTGGGTTGCTCACCCAATTTCGTCAATATAACGGAAATTTAAACAACTGTCGTACATGGGGAATGCTTAACTAGCTATAAAACGTGGTTAAACCCACAATTTTCTTCAGAAAATGTATGCACCAAATCAGAAATTTAACAGTTGTTTCCATTCGTTTCGTAGGTGTATATAGTCTAGCGTTCGTCATGTTTAAGTTAAGAACTTTCCCTTTTTTATTTACTTTGGAGTTCGGAATTTTTTTAATTGCTTTTTTGTTAATTTGTTAATTGTTAATTCTATACATAGCATTTCTGTTTTTAAGTCGCAGTGTATGTTAAATGCAGCATCGTCGTATAAGTATTCCGATGTATACCATACGTTTTTCGAAATTCTGACGTTTATTCGATAGTTTTGTAAATTTGAAATAAACTTCATTTTTAACTCGAGCTTTGTGTTCCATAGGAGATCATAAGAGCTTTCCTTTATTAGCATCGCTGTTCTTATGAGATTGCTTTACAATTCACGATCTGATTTGATGACGTCAGTGTGAGGTTTTTTAAATTCGGCTGCATATTGTTAGCAACATCGCAAAATCAACTCACAACTTGGATAAGTTATGATCTACCCTCGACTGTATCCTTTGACCTTGAACTATAACGATTTTTGACTAATAAGCCATTTCGTAGACTTTTATAGCTTACTATGCGGTATGGCTTGGTCTGATTGTTTAAGGCTATTCGGTGGCCTACGGTTGCTTAATTCTATGTCATTGTCATTTGTTTTATGGTGGTGGGTTGTTTGATTTGGAGTCATAATACATCTTCATATATTCATAATGAATAATTTAAATTTTCCGAATTTAAACCTTTAAATTGTTGTCTTGTGATTGTAAATATTTCAGCTATGCATATTGTTAGCAACATCGCGAAATCAACGCACAACTTGGATAAGCTTTTATCTACCCTCCAACTGTATCGTTTGACGTTGAATGACAATTTTTTCACTAAGTTGTTACCTATGACCTATAATTGATCAGCAAAACCAAATCTACAAAAACGAAAGAGAATCGAAACCATAACATAACTCATTTTGGTGTTTTTGCCTTTGGATGACGATTTTTGAGAGAGAATAAAATGTTTACCTATTCTTTCGAAAACTCAAGATGATAGGCAAAAAATATACACAGCAAAAATGTTTAGCAATACAAGATCTACAAAAAGCCAGTGTAACCGAAAACGTTAGAGATAATACTCCTTAATTACGATTTTGACTAGGTCTTTTTTTATTTGGTACAAAAGTATAATAGATAAGTAGAAACTGTTTGTTTGTATAAATAATGATCAACAATACCAGATCTTCAAAAATACCATATGACCGAATCAATTCGGTGACTCCTTATAGAAACATTGACCTGAAGTGAAAATTTTGTTTTACCAAATGTCTGATATTCAGACAAACCTAAATAAACAATACAAGACCTACTAACTAGCTGGTATGATGGAAACCATTAATATACCCCACATAAGAGTTATTGTCCTTTAATGATATTTTTGAAAAAAATAATGTTTTTTTTTCAAAATTATCTTGATGACTTGAAAACTAACGAATAGAGAAAAGCTATTAAAAAAGCTAAATTGAAACAAGCAAATTGATATCTATCAATCATTTCATTGCTTTTTGATATATCTTGAATGCTTTTAAAAAGCTGTATGTACGACACTGTTGTGTTTTTGTTGTTATTGATAGTGAAAAAAGTAAAAAAAATAAATATATCAAGTTGCCATACTTTCACTGAGCGATTTATGCTCTTTTTGCCAAACATTTATCCGTTTTGTCTCGACTTATAGTTTCTTATTGTCCCTTCGATATTTTTTTTTTGTAGAAATTGGTACCCTTCGACGCTGTTTGCCCCATTCTTGTATTGGACCGTTTTATTGTGATACTACAATAGATAGACATTAACTGAACGTTGTAATAATGTTCATACATATATCAACATTGACGGATCTACATTCTATTGATACTTATATTTTGGCGTTGCACAATATCATATTTTTCTCAGACTGTTAGTGATGTCTTTGTAATACATCTATTTGATGTTGGGTGTGTATTGATTAAGTCTAAGACAAATTATTATTAAATTAGTTTTTATTGGCTTTGAACTAGCTAAGTGACAGTACTCTCAGATCTGTACTTTAGTGTCTTAAGTGTTTTTGTTAGTTGTTTGGTTTGTGTAGTATCGATCTGATGAGTTATGACTTTTTCAACTGATTTTTTATACTCTTAGTTTGTTCTTTGTTCGACAGATTTCTCGTTTGAATTGTTTTACATTTGTCATTTCGAGGCCTTTTATAGCTTGCTATGCGGTTTTGATTTCGCTTATTGTTGAAGGCCGTACGGTGAACTATAGTTGTTAACCTCTACGTCATTTCGTCTTTGGTGGAGAGTTGTCTAATTGGTAATGATATCACACCCTCTTATTTTATAATATATACCAATATGTCTTAAACTCATCATAGATACCAGCCTTAAAATTTTGTACCCCAGACGTGTGTTTCATCTACAAAAACAGTGACTCTCGAATTAAACAAGTTAAAAATTCCAAATGAAGTACGAAGTTGCAGTTCATTGAGGACCCAAAATTCAGAAATGTTTTGCTAAATACAAGCGTATGTGATGTATTCATATGACAGAAACTGTTAATTGGAGTAAAAGCTAAAATACACTCGTCATAGTTAATTGGCTTAAAATGTGCACGCCAGACGTGCGCTCTGTCTACAAACGACTCATCAATGACGCTAAAAAAAAGTTAAGACGGCCTATAGAGACCAAATGACATTAAAGTTAACAACAATATGTCGCCGTACACCATATTAAAGTCCTTAAACTGAAAATGTACAACAATTTAAACGAGAAAACTAACGGCCTGATTTAGGTACAAAGCAGTGAACAAAACCAAATATGATGTACAGCAACAGATGACAACCACTAAATTACTAGCTACTGACTTGGGACAGGCGCATACAGGATGAGGCGTGGTAAACAATTTTGCGGGCGCCAAACCCTACCCTTACCATGGACACTGATGTTATAGCATAACATATGCACAAACTATAAAAACAGTTGAAAAGGGCTTAACTCATCCGATCGATACAAAGCAGAAAAAAAGTAACAAAAACACAGACCGGACATGGCCAGGTATTTATGCATCCCCACAACAAAAAAGTATAGATCTGAGGGAACGTGTAATTACTGACAGCTAGTTTAAAGCCAATAACAAATAATAAAAAAATTGTATCTATTTCTACAATACCAATCAGTACACATCAAACATTCAATGGATTAAGTGTCATTTACAATCAGAGAAAAACATGACCATGTGCAATGCTAAAATATAGGTATCGACAGATTTTTGTACCATGAAAGTACATATGCCTATAATAATAATATTAAGTATTGTTTTAATTTACTGATAACATCACCAATTCATTTGTATCTAAGACTTAAATATCAATCAGTACACAACCCACATCCAATGGATTTTAGTATAAAGACGTCTTTAACAATCAAAGAAAAACATGACCTTGTGCAATGCCAAAATACAGGTATCGACAGATTGTGAAGACTATATAATAGTAACTGATGTTGATTTGATATGCAAGAATAGAATGGTTTGAAAGTTTGTTTGTAAATATTTTAAGCTTGATTGTTACGTCAATTATTAATGTGGACTGGTATCGGAGAAAAAAATAATTTTTGGATTTGATTTGGAAAAGCACCATAAAAAAGTGATGATTGGAAAGTAAATTATCAAATGAAATAAAGTATGCGCCTTAGAAAGGCATGTTGCTGCCAGATGAGCGATTTAATATCTTTTAGTTTGATATTGTGATATGTTTTCCAGAAAAATAAACAGAGTGAATTTTATGAACCGAATAGTAGCTTCATCAAAGAGTAAATCAACTAAAAGTTTGACTCCAAAAGTAAAGCAACAAGTGGCACCGCCACAGGTAAGTCAAAATGAAATTTTTATTTTGCTTATAATCAGCAAAATAACAGCCAGGATCATTTGCAGCATACAATCATATTTACGTGTTTTATGTTTTATTGCGTTTTTACGTGCTTTAAATTATGTAATAAAGATTTGCTTTTCATTAAAAAAAATTATAGCAGAAGGTAAGAGCTGATTATTCTTCCTACTAGTATATTCAATGAAGATATTATTTTGCTCAATTAAACATTTTTTCAACACAATCTGTTCGGATGTCCTTTAGACAAATATTAATATATAATAATCTCTGATAAATCTTAATTATTACGTAGACATCTAGAAGTAAACTCGTCTTGTAAAATTTCACAAACCAGTTAACTATTCAAAAAAATGTTGTTGTTAGATAATTTAACCTTTTTAATGTGGACAATTTCGAGAAGGAAAAAAAAAACAATCGTGAGATCGTATATTTGCCTAACCGTTACTAGTAGTAGTTAAATGAAACGCATTGATCAATGAAGTTTTTGCAATAAGGTCATTAAAAGAAAAAGCATGGCTTCTTAAAAGTCTAATATAGCAATACGATGATGATTCAACAATTTATAGGGTTCATCAGAATCATTAGATACATCACTTCATAATATTGAATTACATGCTGAATGGTCTGTCTAGAAATTACTATAAAACTAAGGTGGTATGGTTTTGAAAAATATAGCGAAGATACAATATGTGTGAATTTGGATTCGATTTGGGTTCGAGCAAGTGTACACATATTGTCATCAAATATCATATAAAGTTGAGAACGGAAACGGGGAATGCGCCACTAAAGAGCAAAAAACAGCCCAAGGATATATCGTTCAAAAGAAATGAAAAATTTCAATTATCAATTATTTGATCTGTTGGACACCTATTTTCTGTTTGCTGATATATTGAACTTTTCATTATGTTGAATGAAAACACATTTTCGTCACACTCTTCTAAATCAGTTTCTTATCAGAAAAGTGGATATTTTATCAGCAGCTTCAGGGTAATAAGCCGTGACGTGTAAGTGCTTTTGAACGGTCAGACAACTTCTTTCTCTTACCCGATACTTTGAATTACGAGTGAAGAAATGCAAAGTACAACAACGCATACATTATTGTTGATAATTGAATAATAAAATATTTATCTGCTTAGTAATTGTCTTTGATTTTAAACAAAAATAATATCATAGAATTATTTTTTATAAATAACTGAATAGATTGATATGTAAACCAGTGCAGATTGAACTTAACTTTACTTAGATGAAATTAAGACACATTTGTGCTTGAGTAAAATAGACAAAAATTTTAAAAACGTATGATATTGTTAACAAAAACATAATTTTAAAAACAAACATTCCACATTGGCTCGTCAATATTGTAGAATTAAAGATTTATCGTTAGGATATTTTATTAATTGATGATTAATAATTCATAAGATTTAAGCCGTCCAGACGGCGTAATCTGTTCGAACATCTTGCTCAAACTATTAAAATTATTTAAACGTGTATTAAGTAAGAAATACATTTTAAATATATACTACATGTATCTTTTGTTAGTTAAGTAATATTTATTTAAATGCATTCAATTTCAAAATAATGCCTAAAAAGACAAAAACAACTTAATTTATGTACTTGACTTGTCTTTATAGACGTTATTGTGAACTCATTACCTAATTGTATGACGTAGATGTATGCCAATACATATATTACAAAACCAATTATGGATTTGTGTCCCTAATATGAAAATAACGTTATGATATCTCGGGTGACTGAAGCGCTCTTCTATGTTTACCTTTACCAGGAACGCTTACATCTAAAAATTAAAAGCCAGAATGTATAAATAGGTCGACTATTTAGAAGGTATTTGACCTAAGGGACATAAGGTCCACTTTGTCTGAGAGAAAAGAAACCTTAGTTTCTTTTAAAATAATTTCTAAATGTATCAATGGGAAAGTTTAAAAAAGTATGTTACTAATCATGTAAGTAACGAAAGACTGACTGCTGGATTACGATACGCTCGGGTGCAAATAGTCCACCATCAGGGGTATAGAACCAGGGGTAGTAAATGAAAGTCACATTTTATTAATTTCGTTCTTTTCCGGATTTACCTTCATCTGCAGCGCTCAAACCTAATCATTTGAAAACCAGGGATTTATAAATACGTAGACACGACATGAGGAATTTGAAAATCGTGAAAAAAACTTTGATGATTTAAAACTATTTATAATTTTTAACGGAACTCGTATTCGTTTAAAACTTAGCATTCATATAAATTTTATTAATATCCATATTTAATTAAGAGTAGCAGATAAAATATAACACTTTGTACTAAGTTAGAATTTGTTTATCCAAAACTATTTTTCGAAGAGTTTAAGTATCACATACTTAAACTTTAGTATTATTTCAAATAGAATATATCGGATGTAATGTATTTCAAATAAAATGATATCAGATGAAATAGTCTAAGACATTTAACATATCTCTTTATAAATTTCTTGCATCCGAAACGCTTTTTTGAATTTATCTTCATCTGCAGTGTTCTAAATCTTAAGATTTGAAACCCAAGGGTATGTATGTACGAATGTATTTGCATACATATATTTCATCTTTTATTTACATACCTGCAGAGTACGACTTTATTATTATGCGTTATCCGTACTGTTTATCACATTTAAATCCGACTAATTCTAAAAACGAGTACATGTATTCGTTTGCTGAGACGTTTGCTCTCAAGCTAGTTTCATGGGGCTCGATCGTCTAGAAATGTTTTATTGTAAGTCGGAAGGCAAATATAAAAGAAAGGAAAATGAGCCTTCAAGATACTCTGACATATTGCCGACATCAAATTAATCGGGCTTGAATTGACCTTGTCTTGTAGAACATTTTAAAAGAGGGACGAAAGATACAAGAGGGACAGTCAAACTCATAGATCGAAAACAAACTGACAACGCCATGGCCAAAAATAAAAAGACAAACAGACAAATAATAGTACAGATGACACAATATAGAAAACTAAAGACTAAGCAACACGAACCCCACCAAAAATTGGGGGTGATCTCAGGTGCTCCGGAAGGGTAAGCAGATCCTGCTCCACATGTGGCACCCGTCGTGTTGCTTATGTTATTACAAATCCGGTAAATAGTATAATTCGGTAGGTCACATTAGTGAAAAGGGAAGGGTATTGTAGTTACGACATAAGGAACATATCCGATATCATCTGTGAAACGGTTATTCCATAACGGTCAACCAACTCGTGATGGCGTCCGTAAAATTTACGAAGGAATGATTTCAACTTCAACATTTGGAACTCTTGGTTTAATAGCTTCCTTGTCAGCAGCAATCCTCTATCAAGGAAATCATGATAGGAAATACAAACCCGGGAATATCGTATCAATTGGGAGATATATACTCCGTATGCAGGCGCTGCTGGAATGTTTCTACATAGAAATGGAAAGTTCACAATTGGGAAGCTGAAATCATCTCTTTTGTCGTAAAGTTTTGTTTTCAACCGACCCTCATTGTCAATTTCTAGATGTAAGTCAAGATATGAGGCAGACTTAACTGTATCTGTAGTATTCTTTATCTCTAGTTCGATAGGATAGATTCATTCAACATAGTCACCAAATTTTGTATTATTTAGTTAGAGAACATCATCTATATAGCAGAACGTAGAGTTAAAGAATATTGCTTCTTCCTAAGAAGTTCCTGTATGAAGTCAGCCTCATAATAATAAAGAAACAAGTCGGCAAGAAGAGGGGCACAATTGGTTCCCTTTGGAATTCCGACAGTCTGTTGAAAAACACGTCCTCCAAACGTAACTGTAACTAGTGCTCCAAATTTAAGATAGCATACACTTAGCCTCAATATATACGGTTAAACCAACTCATTTGAGAAAGTTTGAAGCAATTATTTAGCGTTAAAGATTTTTTTAAAAATGATGACATCATGAAGTGGTCAATATATTTGATTTAAAAGATTGTTTTTCTTTCTTCAGGTAACAGACCGGGCAAATTTGTACTTATTATTTGAAGCGGCGGCAATAGGTGATTTGGAAAGTATTAAAAAGTAAGTTTAAATGTAGGCAATGTATAACTGTATTGATATTATTAACCTCCACGTCTTTCTTCAGTACAGGATCCAAATGACTGATTCATCTCTCTCAAAGAACTAATTTATAGGGAATTTAGTACAACAGTCATGTCCGCCTGTTTTGTCAAACAAAAGTGTAAATGCTTTAAACAACTAGTTATACTTGTCCACTGTGATCAAGTGAAAAAGATCATTTCTTAAATTCGCCTCTTGAGAACCTTTGTCATTTTTTATGCCCCCGCCGTCGCGGAGGGTGCATTTAGTTTTACCCTTGTCCGTCTGTGCGTCCGTACGTACGTACGTACGTTCGTCACGAAACTGGTTTCCGTTCTCTAATTTTAGTATGCCTCAAATGATATGAAACTTATACACTTATACGCTTATTACAACAAAACGCAGATCAAGTTTAAATTTGGGTTGCGTCACATTTACTGTTCTTGCGTTATTTCTCTTTATACTGTTATTTGCAAGCGAGGGGATCATCTGTGTCCCATTGACACATTCCCCATTTATTTTCTTAAAATTTGACATAATGCTTTATTCTAAGCATGATGCTTGAAAACGCACAAATGCACGATAGTCAAATAAGTAACATGACCAACTTTTGATGTGTTTGGATATTAACTACAACACAGTAATGGATGGAAAAGGGAAAACTAATACACAAGCAAACTTAGATCCACAAATAAGTTAATTAGTTTTCGTAATTGTGTGGAGCGCTAGTTAGGGGCCTTTTGATAAAATGAAGTGACGGGGTTTGGAAGATCTATAAACAAATATTATGAATTTTAAGTTTATAATTAATGTCATCCTGGTTGTTAAAACATGTATTAGTTGACTTGATGTAACTTCAATGCACTCGACAAGCTATTCTGACTTTGTAGAAAGGGATTGCAAAAATGTTCTTAACTGATCAAAATACCAGGCTTCTAATTGAGAACACCTCACACGAGTTTCATCTTAATAGGAGATATCATGAATATCAAAATCGGGATTTTGTATGAATGATGCAAATCCTTAAACTGGTTAGTAACTAGTTCGAATTAGGAATAGTTAAAAAGACGGAAAATACATAAATACATAAGGAGAATCAAATCTCAAAAGTCTAAAGAGATCGAAAACATGATGACAAAAAAAAATTAAAAACTACAAAAAGACTAAAAGTCTACAAAACAGTATAAAGACTGAGCAACACGACCCCAACAGTAATGTTGATATTCGTAGGTGCTCCTGAAGGGTATGCATATCCTGCTTTACATGTGCACCAGTCGTGTTGATCATGGTAGGTACAAATTCGGTATTAAGCCTCATTAGGTGATCGCGGAAGGCAAAATGACTACGAAAATTTGAACATATTCGGGGTCATCTCTCACACATACATTCCCTGACGGTCAACCACCTAATGATGGCTTATTAAATATTTTCACTAGAAAGCTTTGGTTCAATAGCTTCCTTTTCACAGCGACTTCATCAAATGAAATCGTGATAGTAAACGACAGCTCTGGAATATCGCATCAACTGGAAAATTTATACTCAATATGCAGGCACTGTCTGAATAATGTGGTGTAACTGTTAGCTTGGGATCGCCATGCCTGTAGCCAGAACTTCGGTACTTGCATGGACATACGGATAATGCTTGATTAAAATTTTGCGGTTTTAAAAATTTTGGAAATATTTTTTTATTAAGAAATATATCTCCCTCGTGCAAAGCTTCTTTGTATGAATTTGGCTATAATTTAGGTCGTTTTTGTTTTGATCCGCTCTTCAACATTTCTATTATTAATATCGCGTCGGGTTTTTTTTTTGCGATTACTTAACAAAGTGTGCAGGGTAAATTTTCACAGTGTTTAATTTTCGCTGAATGGGAAAATACACACGAAGATATAACTGTATCGCATTGTTAAAGATGAAAGTAACACATAATTGATTGACTGACCGGTAATCAATTACAAATATATACGAGTAAACCAAACGAAAGTACGCAATTTAGAGAACTTTTAAGGAACGTAAATTATGCACATTGGGGCATGCTAAAAATTGAAGGTTTTGATCAATACAGATATACAAATATCCGTGTAAAAACGATTTATTTTTGTTGTATTTTTGCATTAAATTCCAATTGGTTGGGTTATGACACCCCTATCAATACAATAGCTCGCCAGTGATTAGCATCTGATAGCCGTGTTGTCAAAGGTGTGACACGTTTGTTTAGCCAATTTAATTATTATGAAAAGAAAGATTTTGAATAAGTATGCTCATTCTTTTGATCTGTTGAACAACACAAAAATCTCCATAATTAACATTATAATGTATAAAGATTTCAAATTTTGATAAATCTTGGAATATGCAAGGAAATTTATGCGAGGTCAATTTTTTGCGCTTCTTTAGCTACGGCGAATAAAGCGAAAATTAAACACACGCAAAAAAAAAAAACGATATACGGTATTCATATATGTTGACCTTTTTGTCGAAATGCGCATATGGTGCATTAAGAGCCTCTGAAATTGCAAAAATATTACTAAAGCCTTTCAAAAGATATTAATTACATTGATAAATGAAAAGTATTATATTATCTGGCCACTTTGGTGCTGAAAGGTCACCTGTGATGTCACAAACATTCTTATATCAACCGGGATGTATAAAGACACATCCACGTTCATTTTTTTCTATAAAGAGGTTATCTCCTAACTATCATACTGCCTGTCGATACATTTATTTTTGGCATTGCACAAGTTATTTAATTATATAGATCTTCTTTGACTGTCCATGACGTTAAAATACTAAATCCCTTGGATGTGTTTTAGTTGATTTTAGTCTCTGATGCATGATTTTTTATTATTAATTGTTTTTGGCTTTTAACTAGCTGTCAGTAACTGCAAGTACTCTCAAATCGTACTTTCTTGTTATTTTGACCTGTTGATACTATTTGTAATGCTTTGTTGTTATTTAATGTTTACTTATTCAGGGTTATATCTCGTTTATATACCGGCTTTGATAAGTGTTTGGTATGACTATAAATTTTCACTTTTTCGTACTATGAACAAAAATATATTTCTGTTCTCCATTTAAACTGTTTACCTTACAACAAAATTATTTTCATTTACCTGTGTATATTATTGTATTTGGCGGCTTTTTGTTCAAGGTTGTTGTTGGTTTTTTTTTTTTGAAATTGTTTAACATCTCACAGCGGTATACTACTGTTACCTTTATTTATTCACCCCCTTATGTTATTGATTTTGTATTTACCTTGTATCATAGATCAAATTTATTCGTTCAGTGTATGTTCACTTATGTTAGTATGTCTTTTGATTGAGTTAAGCACTTTCAATTGATATTTTATAGTGTGTATTTCTATGTTGTGATGTTACACTATTGTTTCAGATAAGGGTGAAGGTTGGTACCTATTAAAATGGTTAAACCCGCTGCATTTGTTTGCACCTGTCGTAAGTCAGGAATCTGATGTTGTCGTTTGTTGATGTGGTTCATAAATGTTTCTCGTTTCTCGTTTTTGAAAGTTTGCTATAGCTTGCTATAGCAATATACTTTCCTAAGGCATCGGCCTCAAACCGGAAGTTGGACAGACTATCTAACTATAGGATGTGTGTTCTACTCCTAGATAATGTAGCACTAGTGTTTGCATACTAATTCTAGGAAGATGCTTTTGAAATTTTGAGTTACTTCTATTTTGATTAGCTTACAGCTTGAATTAAAATGTACTGAATGTTCATCGATAATTCAAATAACTTCAACTTCATTTTGAAAATAGCTATCACAAACATTACTTCGAAGATCTGAGCTGCGCGGAAATCAAAATCAATACACATCTACACGAGACAGCAGTTTCTACGTTATGCTTTTATCGGTATTCCCCAGACATGCGTGAGATCCATATATGTGTACTTTCCGATGGGAGTACGATAATCCCGGTTTCAGGAGTTTCCTCCAGTCCTCCGGTTGCCCTGGAGAAAATAAATACGGTGTTTAAAATATTTCATGAATGAACATTTTTCGACGCTATTTTTACTACGATTTTTACAAATGTTTATTAAAGACGTAAAAGCCCGAGTGTATCGAAAGTAACCTGGTATCTCATCTCGGCCCATAACAGACTCGGACTATAACAAACTCTGCCTATTACAATATCGGCCTCACAAAATCGGACTGTAACAAAATTCGTATATACTATTTGTTTTTAAGTCTCCCAAACAAAGTTTAGAGACTTATTATACCCCACGCAACGGGTTGCGGAGGGTATAATGTTTTTGACCCGTCCGTCTGTCCGTCTGTCCGTCCGTCAGTCCGTCAGTCCGTCAGACGGTCAGTCCCGTTTCTTGTCATCGCAACTCCTCTCAAACCACACAACAGAATTTCACGAAACCTTTTTAGATAATAAGGACATACTATGTAGTTGTGCATATCGACAGGAAATTAGGATTCAATTTTTTTTCTAGGAGTTACGCCCCTTTGAACTTATTTACTTTAATGTACTACTGCAACAGTTTGTCATCGCAACTCCTCTGATACCACACAACAGAATTTCATGAAACCTGTAAAAGGTCGAGATCCCCACCTTGAAACCATATACATTCTTGCATGGGACAATAAAACAAATCAAATGAAATATAGGGGGAGTCCCTGGGGGGTCACCCCCACCCACGTCTGTTTGAAAACTTGTAAACGGTCGAGATCCCCACCCCTAAACCATATATATTCTTGTATGGGACAATAAAAAAAATGAAATGAAATAGAGGGGGAGTCCCTAGGGGTCACCCCACCCCATCCTGTTTGAAAACCTGTAAAAGGTCGAGATCCCCACCTTGAAACCATATACATTCTTGCATGGGACAATAAAACAAATCAAATGAAATATAGGGGGAGTCCCTGGGGGGTCACCCCCACCCACTTCTGTTTGAAAACTTGTAAACGGTCGAGATCCCCACCCCTAAACCATATATATTCTTGTATTGGACAATAAA